GGATGGTGAGGTAAGTTTTTATCAGTCAAATATTTTACTGTGGTAAATCCCAGTTTCATTTTTTGAATTGGACTGCTGAAATACTTTCCCACTCCCTTTTTAAATCATTTTATTGAGACGCGCCTGTTGAGATGTACTGTGTTGCAATTCAGAACGAAAACCACGCTTGGACCAAGCTGTACAGTTTCATCCTCCACATGAAGGGGAAATCAGGCTTGCATTTCCACTGAGAGGTGTGTAGGCGGGATGGTGATTGGTGTCAGCTCTATAAATTGTTTGACATACAATTAAACAAAGAAACATAGTCCTGTGCATTTATAGACAAAAAACAGATCTGAATCCTCCTTTCCTCCAAATACACGGCCCCCGCCCCCCTCAGTTAATTCCATTTTAACGTGAGAGAAGTCAAGCAATTCTCTGTTGAGCAATTATTGAACGGCAATGTTTACTCTCCACCAGCACGCGAAAACGAACTGGAAGCCCAAACATTGGGGAAGAGTGCATGGTTAAGCTCAGATGTCTTGATGTCCTGACTGCGGAATACAATACAAGCATACTGAACGGAACCGGATAGCGCTGCTTGGGGGAAATTAGGCTGGACGTTATTTTGTCATTCAAAATGTATATCTAACTTGTGTTGGTAGTGTTGGGACGTGATTCTTCTTCACGTCGTTTAGACGGCTATGAATCGCCTTCTTGTGCTTTAACACCCATATAGTTCACATTGGATTACTAAATAAGCCTAAAACTATAGCTTTGGAGACTGTGCCTACTGCCTAAATATGAGGAAACAAGTGAAGTCAAATCTTCCATCAAGATGAATTAAATGTACACCAAGTGGGACCATCAAATGCCATTCTTTATATGAAATGGCCCGGTGGTGCCCTATCTTTGCCATGTCATCCTCTCCGCCGCGCTCGTCGTCCTGTAGCGCAGCTCTGACTCCCGTGCATGAGCGTGTTTTGTAACATGCCTCCTCAGACGCACTTGCTGCTGCTAACTGACCTGAAAGTAAGCCCGCTACAGCTACCGCTCTGAGTCGCTTGCTTTGCCAGATTAGGGCATACACTTACACAAGGCCTTAATGCCCGAACGTCAGGGGAGTGTATGCACACGCCAATGTGCACCCAAGATGGACACAAACAAAGCATGCACAAATCTGAGTGCTGACACAGATGCCCGCTCTAAAATTTCCTTCAACAAGAATGCCCTCTCTCTCTCTCTCTCTCTCTCTCTCTCTCTCTCTCTCTCTCTCTCTCTCTCTCTTTTATCCTGCCATCTATAGCATGTCTTTATTCAATGCATGTGAATCGCAAAGGCTGTTCACAGCCAGAAAAAGGCCCAACGTAACTTGATGGGTCAACAGCGTTTTTTTTTTTCTTTTTCTTTTTCAGGAGCCATACTCGCTATTTTTATAGCTTGTGGGTTGTTGACTTTGTGCTTCAGGTAATAGAAAACGCTGCTGAGCGGCAGCAAAAAATGCATGTCATCTGAAAAGGCCCACCGCCGAACAAAAACAAAAGGCTTTCTTTGGCTTGTCTTCCCGCTTCTATTTTGGTTTTGCAAAAAGAACATCCATCGCCTGGGCTGTCCGTTCTCCTCCTCCCAGCCAAAGACTGTTGATTTGTTTGCGCAACAGCTTTCTAAGGGCCCTTATCATGCCATCAGATAATACATTGGGATGTGGCCAAGACATGAAAGCATGAAGTCTTGAAATTACTGCCCATCTGAGTTGCATCACAGGTTGTCCTGGTTTGAGTCATTGTTGGTCAAGTGCGTTGTGAGTCACCAGCACAGATTCTCAAAGGGTGGGTTGACCAACAAATCGGACAATGTCCGCCAGTGTTTTGTACAATGTTCCATGAACCAGTAGGTGTGGAAGTGAAGTGAATTTGTTCTGTCCAATCAAAGTTTGCCGAGAGTGAGACATTTTCAATCCCCTTTTTAACATTGTTTAATCAAATTCATGTTTAACCTGAGCTCTATCGTTTGGGGGCCATGCTATATCAAACGTCATGGACAGTGACGTCTTCACACAAAGATCTTCCACCCACCTTTAACTTATCAGTAAATATTTGTCATTAATTACCCCCTCAGTCAAAACAGGTTGTTTTTAGTTACGATGATAAAATGCCAAACATTTGTTGTTATGCTATACTTTGAGACCTCTGTTTCTGTCGACCACATCACAATCCGTTTTGGGAAGCTGGTTGGCACCCCACGCACAAGAATAATAGTCAAACTCTTGTTTCTCCAAACATTTTTTTAATCAAAATTTTAGTATTTTTAAGTTTAACACTAAAACAGTAAAGCAGTCTTCATTGAACATGCTGAAAAGTGGTTACGGAACACCCAAGTTAATCCTAACCCAAACGAATGTAAACGTTACAGTCCATACTTACATGATACTTGATAGACTCGTACTTGTTCTTCATCGATGCCGTAAGCATGTTTCATCGTACGACCCGAAGCAGGTGATCAACTTTCCCTTTCTGCTAAGAGACAGGAGAAGCTCTAGTTTCTCTGTTTATATTTATCACCCAGGTTAGTTCTCACCGGATGACCCACAATCATGCGTGTCATTTTCATCCTTTGCCCAATTGCTGACTGCAGTTGCAAGATACAGTAAGAGGTCATCCAGGTCATCATATTTGCATGTCATCTTTTGTTCTTCCCCTGCGGCATCTTAAGAGAGCAAAATTACATCTCATGTCCATATATTACTGTAAGTAATGCATCTTGAATATTTGCCTTGCAGCTAGGAGTTTAGTGTGTGTGGCGGGGGGGGGGGTAACATTGTTTGGTATTATTATGCCAAAATAAGCTCCATTATTTTTTTTGCAAGATGTCTGTCAAGCTGCAGGGTTGAAATAATTGCACACAGCTGCTATCTGATCATGTGAATCAAGTTGGATACGCTGCTCCGTAATGTAGCCACTGTACTCATCTGGTGCTGCGATCCAGCGGGGAATCATTTCTGGGATTTTTGGTAAGGCACATGTGCAGCAGTTTGCAACTAACCCCTTCGACAGCATTTGTATGCGTGCTAAATATGTGTTCACTTAAATCATAGGAATAAATTACTATCCTGTATTTATAATAATGGATAATCCACAAGCAAAGTTGGAGCAGATTGCACCACGAAATGTTTTGTAAACATTACAAGTTGTTTGTTGGTATAACGACTTTTTGCTGCTGTTTAGCACAAAAAAAAAAGCTCATGTTCCACTTTGTAAATGATGCCGCAGTGGTTTCACACAGCGTCGCCATGACGACCACCCACACTGAGGTAATATAAGTGCAGTGGAAATCTGATGTCCCAGTGCCAAAAGCGAGACAAGATAGGATATGTAATAGAAACATGATGAGTGAAAGTCGTCCCCCGTGACGGCCGTATGTCCGAGGCCCGTTGGTTGACGCTGAAATAAAGGCCTGTGACACAGGTGTGTCACCAAGAAAGGTCAAAAGCTGTGAGACAGATGGCACACACACACACACAAACACACGTACACGTACATGCACGCCCTCCCACACACTTTTAACACTCCCAAAGGGACAGAGATCCATTGTGTATCACTGCAGCCTGTCACACACAACACACAAGTCAAAGTAGCCCACCAGATGTCAGGTAAGGAAGGCAAATTGATGAATGGGGTTGTTCGGCCTGGAAGGCAAGTGAATGTCAATTAACTAAATTATTGCTATATGACCTAACCACAGTGGCACACTCATTAGGACCACTTTTTATTATAGTATAATTTCATTATAGCGGTGAATGGGAAGGATAATCAAATGTAGGAGGGCCACACGGAGGTACAAGGAGATGAAGGAGAGGTTGCGGCTCGTGACTATTTCATTAGTGCGCAGCTAATACAGCGCAACGTCAAAAGTTGAATGCTCCTGGTGTCAATGTAAATTTTGGTGAAAGTCACAGAAACCTTCAACGTTCCACCTGCTGTTGTCACGACACATCAGCGAGAGCGCAAGCCTTCAGTGTACCTCACGGGTGCTTACTTCAGCGACCAAGGATGAGAACAGAAAGTTTGCATTTAAAGCAGGTAAGACTCCAGGGTCATCATTTGTCAAGTGTTATTGTTTATTTGACGTTTTTACAAATGTGAACAAATAAACATACTAAAGGAGTTGCCAGCAGTTTACCAACAATGCAAATCGCCATCGCTTGTCATTCTCATCCTTCGTCTTCATACTGATCATGTGTTGGTCTTGATCAAGTCGTGACTGTTTTATACGTACAGAAGAAAACAAGTTGTAGTACTGACTGACGGATATAAAGAGAGCATCTTAATGTAGACCACTGTACTATACAATACATTAAAGTAGTAGCCTATAGGTGGTGGGTAGTTAAAGATAGACCCAATAGTCAAGCTTTCTCTTTACCACTGCACAGCCGACGCAGACCATACTTCTTCCGTCAGTCATCACCTTCTGTACCCCTCCCCCAATCTCGGTCCTTCGCCTGTGACCATTTAGGGTAAACATTTCAAGGCCACCAGCTCGGAGTGTGTGTTCATTATAGCCTGCCTTTTGTGCCTGCTTCTTTTTTTCTTTCTTTTTCTCTCCCCTACGCGCTCTGTAACTTCCACAAGTATATTCCGGACCACTAACGGGCACTTGGACAGGCTTCCATGCTAACAGTTGGCGGGTATGCGTGAGGTGTGTGGGTGTTTGCGTGTCAAAGGTGGTTTGTAGAGATGTTGGCGAGTGTGTGTGCTGGCATGGCGCACGCGATCGTACAACACATGAGCATGGGGGCATGTGACCCTCAATAATAGATGGATGCAGTGAATATTTGATCGGTGAGGGGTGGAAACATGTTTCCATATACACATATAAGGGGGATGCAAATATTTGAATGACGCATGAATGACTCCAACTGAGGCTGATGGGGGAAAAGTAGCATCCATGCGGTCAGGTGATGGGTTAGGTCGAAGATGCAGTGGAATGTTGCCAACTGAGCTTTTCACCCTCCCTTCCAACAGGGTTCCCAGGATAGTACTTCTGGTCAGGAGGGACTTGTACCTCCGCCTTTCGCAGCCTTCCCTCCTCCTCCTCCGCCTCCTCCGCAGAACGGCCTTGCCCTGGATTACGGCGGCAGCCTGTATGCAGCGAGCGCGGTGCAGGGCCCCGTGGAAGCCGGCGGAGCAGTGAACAGTGTCGTCAATGTTGTCAACAGCCTCAGTGGCCAAGTGAGTGTCAGCCTCCCTCTTCTTCTCTGCGTCCCACGACATGTTAAAACGCTGCGGGTCTTTTCTGTCACATTGAATTAGAAAAAACACGCTGGATCTAAAAGTGCATTGCAGAATTCACATGTTGTTGCTGTAACTAGGAAATGTATTTGTAATGAACTATAGTCCAAATAGATGCCTCATTGCCCGCTCATCAGCAACCTCTGCAGAATCCTGATAATGATCCCGATCATTTGAATCAGGCGTGTTGGAGGAGGGAAATATCCAAAACAATGTCTCTGGGACCAAAGTTAGTGACCCCCACGCGTCTCGTGATATATATGTAATTCAAGAAAACTACATTCTGTTGATATATATGTTGATATATAATTGTTATAAATTGGATAAATCTATACAGTGGGGCCCCTCATATTGGTGATTCGGCTTTGGCAAACCTACATATATTCATCCGTTTGCAGAGTATTGTTATTTTTTTAATCCCCCCCAAAATCGGAACCTCCATTAAAAAAAACAAATTCTAGGCTGTTGTAATAAGCGTCAATTATTTGCGCATTTACTTCATTCGGTACCTATCCTCCGTGAAATGTGTGATTCTACTGTACTGTACACTTAAATAAAAGTCTCATGTACAATAATTCAAGAAAAGTGAATTTTAGAATATTTCAAGGAGTTCCCTACACTCTTAAAAGTGCTGGGTTAATAGTAACCCAAATTGGGTGAAAGAGCTAACCCAGCACTGGGCCCAACAGGGACAAGACCAAAAATTGATTATTTATTCCCAGTACAGTACTACGTCAAGATTTTGAACCTATAAGTGATAAAACCTACTCATACCGATGTTGAAGCTACCAAGAAATGGTTTACCAGGTTATCAGTACAGTTGTGATTAAAAATAAAACATTTTACCAAAATTTTCTAAGAAGTCAAGGCAAGTCAGCTTTATTTACGCAGCACATTTCATACACAAGGCAACTAACTCAATGTGCTTCACAGAAGCAAAGACTGAATCCAAAAGCATTTACAAACGCAGCAGCTTCAGCATACAGAAGCATAGCTGGATTTGAAAATGACTAAAAGGAAAAAATGATTTAAAAAGGTCTAAAAGTCCTTCATCAAAGTTATGGGGGGCCATTTTGAACCTGGGTTTTAAAGTATGTCTCGTCAGGGCTTCATCAAAATAATTAAAGCAACCTTGGGTGAAAGTAAACAAATCTGTTGAAAATCCACATCTTCGCAGTGAGTGGGTTAGGAAAACAACCCACCAATTTTAGTGTGTATGAGAAATATCCAAAACAATGTCTCTGGGACCAAAGTTAGTGACCCCCACGCGTCTCGTGATATATATGTAATTCAAGAAAACTACATTCTGTTGATATATATGTTGATATATAATTGTTATAAATTGGATAAATCTATACAGTGGGGCCCCTCATATTGGTGATTCGGCTTTGGCAAACCTACATATATTCATCCGTTTGCAGAGTATTGTTATTTTTTTAATCCCCCCCAAAATCGGAACCTCCATTAAAAAAAACAAATTCTAGGCTGTTGTAATAAGCGTCAATTATTTGCGCATTTACTTCATTCGGTACCTATCCTCCGTGAAATGTGTGATTCTACTGTACTGTACACTTAAATAAAAGTCTCATGTACAATAATTCAAGAAAAGTGAATTTTAGAATATTTCAAGGAGTTCCCTACACTCTTAAAAGTGCTGGGTTAATAGTAACCCAAATTGGGTGAAAGAGCTAACCCAGCACTGGGCCCAACAGGGACAAGACCAAAAATTGATTATTTATTCCCAGTACAGTACTACGTCAAGATTTTGAACCTATAAGTGATAAAACCTACTCATACCGATGTTGAAGCTACCAAGAAATGGTTTACCAGGTTATCAGTACAGTTGTGATTAAAAATAAAACATTTTACCAAAATTTTCTAAGAAGTCAAGGCAAGTCAGCTTTATTTACGCAGCACATTTCATACACAAGGCAACTAACTCAATGTGCTTCACAGAAGCAAAGACTGAATCCAAAAGCATTTACAAACGCAGCAGCTTCAGCATACAGAAGCATAGCTGGATTTGAAAATGACTAAAAGGAAAAAATGATTTAAAAAGGTCTAAAAGTCCTTCATCAAAGTTATGGGGGGCCATTTTGAACCTGGGTTTTAAAGTATGTCTCGTCGGGGCTTCATCAAAATAATTAAAGCAACCTTGGGTGAAAGTAAACAAATCTGTTGAAAATCCACATCTTCGCAGTGAGTGGGTTAGGAAAACAACCCACCAATTTTAGTGTGTATGAAGAGTTCAGTACAAAACCTTAATTGGAATACTAAGTAATTGTTTGGTCACTTTTCACTTTGAGTCACATCAATCCCCTCACATGAGGCGGTCAAAACAATACATTGGGAAATGGCATTTATTTCCATTGTGTGTTCTTTCCGTCCTCGTCCCTGCGGCCCAGCAGTCAGATGGCTCCTCACAGATTGATGGCCAGTCAGGCTCAGGAGGAGGAGGTAGCGGCAGCGGGGGAAGCATCGGAGATGATTCAGACGCCAAGGGGACACCCAAACGCCTCCACGTGTCCAACATTCCCTTCCGCTTCCGAGACCCTGACCTGCGGCAGATGTTTGGGGTATGCAGACTGAATTATTCACCATTTTGCGGCTCCCCCTTTCCACGGTGAATCATCACGACAAATCACTTTGGACTGTTCGAGCCCATCTGTGTTTCCATACCTTGTTTTCTAAACCGTCGTTCATTTGTGTCGCATGAAATTCACGTGCTCTCTTGTCTGTGTGCCATTTGATCGTGTAAACAAGGGGCGCCTCTTTGTCAAATCTGCCCATGTGCATGAATGTGGCACACATGTGGAAGACATATTGGGAGGAACGACTCCCATCTGGCTCACTGCCAGCTCCTCCCCATGCTTGAACAGTGACGACACCTTGTGGTCGGATGCGGTACTAGACATTTCCATTTTGCTCATTTTCTCATCTCTCTTCTTTTGTCGCAGCAATATGGCAAAATTCTCGATGTCGAGATAATTTTCAACGAGAGAGGGTCCAAGGTAGGCGAGCAGGAGGAACGATGAGCATTTTAAAATCATATGAACAAAGCCCAGATTCAGAACCTTCCCTCCCCTCCACTCTTCTTGCAGGGCTTTGGTTTCGTAACATTCGAGACGAGCGCCGATGCTGAGAGGGCCCGAGAGAAGCTTCATGGCACACTGGTGGAAGGACGTAAGATTGAGGTAACTTGACCTCTCCACCTCCTTGTATTTCATTTGAAGATGGCCAGCCACATTTCTCCTTTTGTTCTCCCTTCATGTCCAATGAGAATGTGGCGTTTGGCGTTTTCCGGGTGGCTGTTATGTGTTCAACTCTAACCCGTCTGCGTTCACTCTAGCATGGTGCATCAGTGCACACGCTGGCGTCCGCGTGGTCGCCAATTCTCGTCGAAGTTTACTCTTGTTGTTTCTTCAAAGCTGTATGATTTGCAAAGCATGCTGGGTGGAGTGGCAGCACGACAGGCATGGCCGGGATGAGACGCGGTGGCTGATGATATCTGCTTCTCTCACAAGCATGGAGGACTTTTGTTTTGTTCTCCCCCCTCCCCTTCCCCTGCACAGTTTTCCACCATCACTCCATCCTCAATCATGATGAGTGGCTATTATTATGTCCTGGTTGAGTGCAGGGGCCTGTTTTTAGCCTTTTGTGAAAATAGTGCTTGCTGGCCTTAGGAGTTTCGGGAATGCTGCATGGATGGTGCTATGATGTTTATTCCACAGAGTTGAAGAAATGTATGCATGTCGAGGCCTTGAAGGGCCACTGTGTGGGAATGAGACTGCCGAGAGGTGTGTGGTGTCATTCATGATGCTTCCAAAGATTGTTTAAATGCATTGTTGCATCCCCCACTTCTTTTATTTATTGAAAAAAAAAATCACATTGTGGCTTTGTTTTTAGTTTGCCTTAGCCAGCATGAGCTTGTTTTTTGTTTTTTGTTTTTTTTTTTAAGCAAGTAGTGTTGAAGTTGAAGTACTGTACACCAGTCTTTTGCCAGTTGCTTTGTCGTATTCTTTTTGTTGCGAGTAAAGCTGCTCTGCATGGTCGTGATTGTGAATGCGCAGCACTATTTTCTGTCCGTGCGTGGGTGGAGAATGATTAAGTGGAAGGCTCGTTATCATCCCCTCTCTTCTCCTGTCCATCATCTTTCTCCACTCTTCTTCACCGTGCCAGTCAGTTTGTCTGTCACTTTGTCTTTGTGTGTGTGTCCCACAATGCACCTCCTCCCGCCCTCACATACCTCCGTGTATTCTTCTGTCCTTCCATACAATCCAAATCTCAATTGAGAGCAGAAATACTTTTGATTTAAAATATTCCTCTCGCTTTCCTCCCCAAGGTTAGCGCTAAATCCGTTTTCATGTGTTTACTCTTTCTTTGAAATTAATGTGCGTGTCGTGGTTTTAGAGTGGCTGGATTGGCTTGGTCTAAGTAGGCGATTGTTTACATGTGACATCACTTCCTCTTTATAGTTGATTCATTATCGTTGTTTTCTTTCAATTTTATGTTTTCCTTTTTTTTTTTAATTTGGGCTCATCATTTCTTTCTTACACATATTTTCTCTATTTCCCTGATGATTTTTGTATGTTGTTGTTGTCAGTCTCCACGGTAACTGCTCGCGTGTCCTCACGCCGTTCCCCGGGCAACGGTAAGTTGTGTACATGGCATCATCTTTTGAATGAAACCCCTCTCCCCTCACCCCATCCGCCCCAATTGGGAAAAAAAGTACCCAAATGACAGCCACGGGCGATTGATTGAGAGGTCCTGATTGGCTAATTCTGTGATTGTTTGGGGAGGTGGAGAATGAAACGACTTGGAGAATAGCAATTGACCGCATGGTATAATGAAGGCCACCTGTGTAACTGAATGTACTGCATCAATCTGCAAGTGCAACAATTATGACCCGCAGCACTTCTTATGCATTCATTCCAATCACCTCTCTAACTGCCTTGAGCTCCAGAGCTGTGTATCCTGCATGGTTGACTCTCTTTTCTCTGTACTCTCGCTCTCTCTATTTTGGCATCTGTATGACATCATATGGTTCTGTGTTGTTTCTTTGTCATGTTTCAGTCAGTAGTTGCATTTTGGCACTTTAGTGGGACAGCATGCTGAAGCATGAGAGCTCTATTAGCGGTAGTGGAGAGGATGCTGTGGCTGTAATTCATGTAGCAGCTGGTCATCACTTTGTGTGCATCCGCGCCCTACGCTGCAGACAGTTGTCGAGGGACGGCACGAGAATGATGTGGGTGCGAGCAGTTCAAATTGAGTCCAGATCTAAAGATTTTTTAAAAGGCTGGCGAATCGACGACTTAGTAGTTTTGCTTTCCCTGATTTTCTTGACCAGTTTGGTTCTGATGTTGTGCGTTGGTTGCGTGCTTTTGAGGTCTGTCTGCTGTGCGACACTGTCCGGGATGCCTGGCAGTGTTTCACAACCAGCGGTTTGATTGATCTATTTATTATCGATTACTTTTTTTTTTTTGATTCAGGAATGACATTTGCACCCCCCCACCACCCCTTTTCTATTTTCTTTTCCTTCTTTCTTTCTCACCTCATTCTCCATGTGATCTGTCTTCCGTGTTTATACATACATAGAGTGTGTGTGTGTGTATGTGTGTCTGTTCATGAGGTTTGCACATTCGGATGGCTCGTTTCACTCTTTTCTCCACATCGTGTGTGTGTTCTATGTATTTTCATGTGGACTGGCTCCTCCACCTGCATCCCTCTATCTTTCTGTCTTTTCTCTGTCTCCCCCTCTTCCTGTTTTTTTTTGTGTACTATGTGATCGGGAGGGCTGTCTACCTTTTTTTTTTTTTTTTGGATTGCTCTGTTGCTGCCTCAATGCTTGCTGATTGGCTCGTTGTGCTCACCTCTGCTGACGTAAGATGCTCATGATTGGCTGTTTGTAATTTTTTTGTATTTTAATATGTTTTTTTTTTTTTAATTTCCTTTTGCATCGTGTTCAACTGATGACTTTGCTGCTTAATTCACCTTCTTTTCCCCTCCTATTTTCAAAGGTATAGCCATGCAGTAATCTTGGATTTCCTTTTTTTGAATGCTCTTTTTTTTCTGAAATATTTGTTGTGTGCCTTTTGGTTGCATTGTTTGTGTGCAAAGTGCCTGACTACTCAACGGGATCCTTGTTTTCAATGTCTCTCCTTCAAAAGAAATGCATGCATCAAATACCCTTACTGCTCATCAACAGAATTAACCAAGTCAAGAGACAATTGTGAAGGGTTAACGACAACTCACTCAACCTTATTTGATTCAAATTACCCTGAAATAGTTAATTTGATATAGGTTTTCTGAATAATGAGGTAATATTGAGTGAGCGGTTTCTCCTCTGTTTAGGTCAACAATGCTACAGCCAGAGTGATGACCAACAAGAAGATGACGACCCCGTATTCCAACGGAGAAGGTCTTGCAGCTTTACCATATGGTATTACTTTTTGGACTATATTTGCCCGAAGCAGAATTATTTACACTGACCAGCCCCATATTCATGAACTCTTGATCAGCTTTTACAAACTTTGCGTAATTTCCGGACTATAAGCCGCGAATTTTGTCACATGCTTTCAACTCTGCGGCTTATATAAAGATTTTTCTAATGGCCGCCAGAAAGCGCTCGAGCATAAAAGGTAAGAGTGAGACAAGTTGATACAGTATACACGTGTCGAGGAAGACGCTATCATCTCTCAAAACAACCGGCCATGAGAGGGCGCATTTCACCTGTGTTTTGGGCGGCACTGCATCCACCAAGGATTACTATGTCCAAAAAAAAAAAAACTCCCGAAAGACATTGTCGTGAAAGTTGACACGAAAGCGTAGATGGTAGAAAGCCAAATGAAGGAATTGTTGACGGAGTGTTACGGCAAGCGAGGATTTTTTTTTTTTCATAGATAAAAAAGAGTTACTCGACGCAAACAGTGACTTTTATGTTTTAACCAGCTCCGTTAATGCTGTTTTACTGCCGTGGTGCTGCCGCGTTACAGGACACTATTTGGAAAGAAAAGTTAAGGTATGTTAATAAAACTTTGAAAACTCGTGTGTACCGTATTCCTTTGTAAATACCTCACTTATGTTAATACGTGGGCACCTGCGGCTTATAAACAAGTGCGGCTTATGTGTGTACAAAATGTTTCTTCCTTTAAAATGTAGTGGGTGCGGCTTATAATCAGTTGCGCTCTATAGTCTGGAAATTACGGTAATCATGTCCAGTTTTGATTGACACTCAGAGAGGTATCAATTCAACAATTAGTAAGGATTATACCTAGCAGTGGTATACAACTAGATTCGCTAGAAAGCCTTTGTTGTCATTGTATGGGGTAGATGCAACAAAAGATTGGTGGAGCTCAAAGTTATAGCCTATGTAAAACTGTATTGTAAGACCAACACATCCACTGACTAAATAAGAGCATGCACAGTCCAATATTGCACAGCGGGACCGATGCACAAGAAAAACGTTACTATTTGTTTACTCTTCTATTGTATAGTTAATTTTTCTCCAGTGATTTTGTGCAGTGATTTTTATAGAGATTTACTTTAGTTTTATGTTTGTCTTCAGCTGGTTGGAAGTTAAGTCCTGTGATGGGAGCCATGTACAGTCCTGAACTCTACACGGGTACGATGACCATATTTGAAGATGAGTTGATGTGTCAAAATATTTCACATTAGACTTGCATTGTTGTCCTAGCATCTGCGTTTTGTTTTTCAAATCAGTGCCAGGGTTTCCGTACCCAGCTGCAGCGGCAGCGGCCGCCTCCACGGCCGCGGCGACCTTCCGCGGTGCTCATCTGCGGGGTCGTGCGCGGCCCGTCTACAGTGCGGTCAGGGCGGCTGTGCCACAACCTGCCATCCCCACCTACCCTGGGTGAACACCTCTCATTGCTATATCGTTCGGTTAAAAGCATGTTTTATGTGATTATATGACGCTTTGGGAGTTTGCTGAGCTCAAAATACCATTTCTTTGTAGCTCCAATCTGGTAAGAATGTGATTTTCAGCAAAGTTAGCAGCCAATGTTACACAAGTGTCTTATTGGTGCATTTGTATACACTGAGGTGGTATTGTTTTTCATGCATGTTGCACGGTGTGTAATAATCTCACCTTTCTTCCTCTTCTCTCTTTCACAACCTGTTTGGAAACTATTATTTTCTTCCCTATATCGGCCACATGATGGCACATGTCACCACTATCCCCTGCCCCCACATCCACCCTCCCGGTTTGTTTCCAACCCCCACCACTGCTATTTTTTCCCCTTTCTTCGCTCTCTTTCTCTCTCTCAGCGTGATGGCCTATCAGGATGGGTTTTACGGTGCCGCTGATCTTTATGTAAGTATAAGTGTCGCTCCGCCCCACTGCCTCACCCTTTCCTCCCTATGTTTCGACCCCTCTTGCCTGTAGGTTTTCAAGTGTGACAATGGCACAGAGCAAACCCACTAAGACGCATACTCCTGCGTGTTTTCAGCATCAAACCAATCGTCATTCCGTCAGAGCCATTATTGCATTAAAACAAATGACACATCACGTCCAGATGCTTTCCATACATGAGCGTTCTTCTGTAGGGTTTGCGTCTGTGCTTTTGTGAGTTGTGTACCATTACAATTAAGAGTGCGTGATGGTGCGTGCGAGTGCGTGAACAGGTTGACAAGAGCTGTTTCTGTTCTCTCTGTAGACTAGTGTTTCAGGACATTAGTGGCAGATTGCCTCAGGTAGGGTTGACACTCTCCATGCGAGAGCCAGTGTGCATCCTCCTCGTCGCCAATGACTGCGTGCTGCTAGACATTTTTTGACCATCTGAGATTGAGATGCCTTCTCTGTCTTCTTCTACTAACTCACTGAATTCTGACAAGGGTGGAATTGCGGAAGGGGGAGAAAATGTCTTGCACCAGGGAGGAGATGGATATACAGTCGAACCTCGTTACAACGTACCCCGGGGGACAGAACGAATCTGGATGTCATAACAGTAGTTCGTTGGAACCATTTCCAATAATGGCCGCCAACTACGACTATAATACAGTATGAACATTTATAGATGTAAAAACATGAACATGTAATACAGTATAAACATGTCAATTACAAATACGTGGATACAATATGAAGAAAACATTCAGTCAGCAAATCCCTTCTCCGGTTGAGGATGCGCAAGGATGAGGATGTACAACTTTATTGTCAAATTTTAGTACTAAATTCATGTTGATAAAAATACTGTAGCTGACGAAATTAAAGCTATCAATGGATTATTTTACTAGTGGGAGTGTTTTGCATTGGAGATAGAGTTAAAAAAAAAAAAAAGACAGGATATTCCATTTTTACTGCTGCAGGTGGTGTTTGCAGTTTGTGTTGATGTAAAAGTAAACCGTCATTGAAAGCTGTTCAGTAGGAATTGATGGCATCCCTACACATGTTTTTCTCTTCAATGAGCTGGACAGTCTCATCTTGTGTTGCATAGCATAGCGTGTTCAAAGACGGGACATTGTACATAGGCTAAAAAAAACAAAACTTTTTTTTTTTTTTGTTTCGCTCTTTCTATCTTACTCTTGTTTAATTGTATTTGAGAAAAGGATTTGCATATTTTGCAAGTGACCATGCTACCCTGTGTAATTTTTGGTCAACCATTTACACACGCTATTAGCAACCATACAATACAGTACTATACGCCGACACACCAATTTCAATGATGAAATCATTTTGTTGTTCCCATAAAATTGTACCGCTCTTCCACAACCCGCTTATGTTTGTACTCATCTACCCATGCAGACGTATGAAGACTGTGTCGCCTTGTTGGTTGGACATTTTGTTGCTGCGCTGATTATTGTAATCTGGCAACAGCAGCAGACTGGCGAGACTCTGTACCTGAGCAATTAGTCGACTTCATAGTCATAGTAAAGACGACTAGTCAACTAGTTGGTTCAACCTCTTGGTTTAAGTATAGTGAAATTGCTTTTCAGGCCAAAAAATGCAGCAATGCTAGATATTGAAGTCATAGTCAACTGCGAAAATAGTACATTATGCAGATGTTTTTATAGAAAAAAAGGTGTATGTATGTATGTGTGTATATATATATATATATATATATATATATATATATATACACACATGGAGGAATTATTCTAAAAAGGAAAACACACACACACACACACACACACACACACACAAGAAAAATCCTCTAGTGAAGAAGAGGTAGGACAAGAAGTGAGTGGAACAATTTGAGGTGTTCTGTAATTAGTTTGGTGATGAAGCTGATTCTGACCCCTTCCAGGAGTCTCCCTGTGTGTTTCACTTTGTGGCATGCTAACTCAAATCAGTGTCGGCATGCACACATACTGTACTGATAAGGCTGACCCGACCCCCCCAACCCTTCAATCCTCCTCATCCTCACACTTTTTCTTTTGGAAATTTTCTCAAATCCACCATCCTTTTTTTCCCTCTTGACTTCTCAGTTAACCTTCTCTTCACCTCCTTCCTTTATCACATTCCCTCTGGACCCCCGCCCCTTTTCCCTCACCTCCGCGGGTCCAGTCTTCCCCGAGACCTTTGCGACGCAAACGTGTGTGCTGCTCCTGAATGCGGGGATTTGGTCGTGACTGATCTTTAGGCTAGAATGCGGCAGTTCTGTGTTGATGGAGGGATGTTTGGTCTCATAAACTGCTCAGATCAGAGTTTGGGGAAAAGCATGCCGTGTCTGTGATTTGTCGCTCGGCCACCTGAATTTGTTGAATGTGCGTGCGTGTGAGCGAGAAATGCACACTTGTTGTGTTTTTGTGTGTCCATAGTGAACAAATGACTCCTTTCCATCTGTTTGCTTTTCTTTAACTGTATGTTTTTGGTAGGGTCACATATTAAGAATTTTTCTCCCTCCATGCCCAACTTAATGGGGGGGAAAAGGGAACATTAGACACAATTGATGGATCTTTTTGCGTGGGTTAGTCATGGAGGGAGAGAGCCACACAGAGCCTGAGCTACATCCTTGTGAATGCTGCACCAGATTAGTCTTTTGCTGACTGTCTGCTCGTTAATCTTTTTCCTTTTCCTCACACTGCAACCCTGTAGTTGGCTGGTGGCTTCTTACTGTGCGCACAATGTCGAGCAAGATTTTAACAAATCTCTGTCTACCACGTACCTCTTTCTCATTGCCTCATCGCAGGGAGGCTACGCTGCGTACCGTTACGCCCAGCCGACGGCCGTAGCCACACCCGCAGCTGCGGCGGCGGCGGCTGCAGCTTACAGTGACAGGTGAGTGGGCCGACCTGATAATTTACACATTCATTTATTGATTGTTTTTTTTTTTTAATCCTATCGCCGTGGGGCACTACATCACATTGACTGTTTTTCACTTTACAGTACATTTGGGTCAGTTACATCACACTCCATTGCTCCCATCAGACAATGTAAAGCGTCTGCGTGCATACTGGATCCATTGTGGAGTAAACATATCCGGGTAGATTTGGGGAAAAACATTCTCAAGATGCTCTCCATACTTGCAAAATTTGGAAGAAACAAAGGCATACCCACTTGTGATGCTGCTGAGTCTGAAACTTGGGGCAGAATGCTCTACTGACCTACACTGGAAAGAAAGGTCAGGGAGATCGAACAGGAACAGAAAATGAGCAAAATAACGGCTCCCGAAATACCTGGAGACAATTTAAAGAAAGGAGGAAGAATGCTAAATAAAGAAAAAAATGAGGCTTTCTGCTCTAAATGTTCTACTGTTGACCTTGATGTCTTGCCCCTAGTGTGTGCTGGTTTCTTTTAGTATATGTTAGTAAAAAAAACAAATATATATATAAAATAAAAAAACATGAAGTGTAATTTTTTTTTCCTCCTCCTGAAGCTACGGACGAGTCTACACAGCTGACCCCTACCATGCTGCACTTGCCCCAGCTGCTTATGGTGTTGGAGCCATGGTGAGTCACTTGCATTTACCGTACCGGTAATTTAAACCAAGGCTAGCAAATTCATTTTGGCATGGTCACATTGCAGTTATGGTTTTCCTCATTGGGCTGTCATGACCAACCATAATCATGTTGATGTGCAATCACTCCGTCGTATTATTACAAATACATTAAAATTGATGGGTAACTAGTTTTGAAATCAAGGGTTAGTCCAGCCTTTCATTTTTTTTAAGGGTTTGATAACAAAGATCCTCGCAATATCTCAACATTTGTAAAAGTGAAAATGATTTACAATGAATTTATTGGGTGGGCAGCATCTACAGTTTTTGTAGTTCACACACTGGCCAAAAAGATTATGTCTCACAAAAAATAAGCCCTAATGGTATAAATCGGCTGTCTTGTAAATAGGTGCATGATGTAACGTTTGGAATTAGACCACCAAAATATTTTTTAAATATGCAACTTTCAATTACAAGAGCTATGTTAATCATTTGATTTATTTAGCATTGAGAAAAAAAACCCTAAATCAAGATACAATATTGCGGCGATGACGTACGAAGATTTTTTTTTTCCTACCAAATGAAATCCTATTATTTGAGTGCATTTTAAATCAGACAGTATGTGTCTGCTTTCTGGACTCCTCCATTTACTAAATGAGTGTTATTGTTCGCAGGCCACGCTGTACAGGGGGGGCTACAGTAGATTCACCCCTTATTAAAGACACTACAATCCCCAGGAGCTCTTGCTGCGAGTTAATCTGAAAGTGCTCCCTCTGTTGTTGTGAAAGTGCACTGCACCCAGCTTGGACTCAACCGCACCAAGTTCCCATCCCAGAGAAGTCCCAAGTTTTCTTATATACACAGAAATAGAGGAATGCTGTATCAAAGACTGACGGGTGGCCTTTGCATTAAAAAGAAAAATACGAAGAGAAAAAAAAAAACAAGGCAAAAGTAGCCACCTTCCCTTATTGCACGGCTGTATTATAGTCCCCCTTTTCAATCCTTCCGCACTCAGCAGCACAAGACTTGTGATGGAGCCCAGATGTTCTTCCAAAGGCTGTTTCCTTTTACCGATGAATCTTTTGTCCGACGTCTTTGAGAAAGACACGCACGCTCAAGCTCAGCTGTGGCAGTAGGACGCGAGAAACAAAACTCGCTGATGGATTGTGACTAGTAAAGGAGAGGATTCCCATTCCCACCGTGTGCCGGCGGGACACAGAGACTGAACTTGGCAGCTTGAAAAGATGACTGAAAGCTGAGGGAAGGGAGGCTTTCTAAGCACTGGTCCTTACCTCAAGTTTTCTCACTATACGGAAACGGTGAACCTTTAAATTATGATATGCAAATAAATTAGTTTAGAGTCAAAGTTACCAAATTTATAATCATTGCAATTAGTATCCTGATTGTTAATTTTTCCTTTCTTTTTTTCTTTTCTCCCCCCACCCCCCTTGACGTCAGCTACACTTTGCTAGCTAAGTATTGGTCCAATGTGCTCTCATCCAAAATTTGGTAGGATAGAAAAAAAAAAAAAAAAGAAATAACAGAAAAGCTTACTAACTCCCTCTTTCCCCAAATAAGGGTCATGTTGTGGTTTAGTGACTCAACTGTTTTAGGGTTAAGGCTTTGTTATTTGTACAAGTGCGTTATTTTCAATCAAAAGCATTTTATCGACAAATACCTAATTCAAATATCTATAACAAATAATACCGTATTTTCACGACCATATGGCACACCGTATTCAAAGGCGTAGCATCAGTTGCGGGTGCTATCTCTGTATTTAACACATACACAAGACGCATTGTATTATAGGACGCAGGCATGATAAAAATCCGGTAGCATGCATGCACAGTAGCGTATGTTTTTAAAAAGGCAGCGGTTGTACTTTCTTGAAGTATATAACAATATATTCACATCCTTTTTCTGATCAATCCTCATCCTCAAATCTTGTGTGTCCAAAATGAACAGCTAGGTCAATTCACAATCCCTCGCGTCATTGTCGAAGTCAGTCTCGTTGCCGTGCGGCTCTTCAGAAATGACAATTTCATAAAACGAAAGCACGAAACACGATGTATTAATTGATCTTGAATTCTCTCGTGCTCAATTCCCACGGTCCTTCACGTAACTGATAGCTTCGGGAGCGTGTGCATTGTTTAGCACAATGCACGTACTGTACACGCCTACTGTGGGCATGCCTTTAGCATCCTCTTTCACGCCAACTTGAACGCCCGCATGCTGTCCTCAATTACACCCGCCTTTCCTCTATATAAGTAGCGCGTCGGCACATCGGTCAGTCAAACGGACACCTCATCAAAGTCACACAACAGCATTTACAGATTTTGGAACTCGGTGCATACGCAAGGCGACCCGCATTATTAGGCACCCCGTCCATTTTGGAGAAAATTGAAGAGTTTTAAGTGTGCCTTTTGGTCGTGAAAATACCATATTATAGCAAATATAGCAATTAGTACGGGCTCCCTCGCAGAAGGTTAGATCTGCTTTTTCTTATCATTCTTCTGGACATCAGGTGGGTGGTTGTATTACAGGACGTTGTTAAGAAGCTTTTTGCTCCATTCGGCAAGAGAGCAGCACCTCACTCCACTTGAATTATTAGCCATACAGAGGCCGTGCCCACTTGCCAGATGGTGTTTGTTGTGAAAAAGACATCTCCCGTGACGTAGCGATATCAGTCATACGTAGTGAAGGTACTTAGGCTACTTGCAACCACCTACTGGTGCCATCTGAAGGGAGAAATGAGATTTATTTTTTTTTCTATGATCAATTGTGGCATGGCATCTATTCGACAATAACAAAATGAAGCTGTACGGAGATATTTAACCACTCGTTAAAATCTAACTCAAGCAAGGCAAATTTCTGCTTCGACTGATGAGTTTGTTTTTGTATGAGATCCTACTAAATCCTCATTGGAATATGTGGAGGCCGTAAGAAGTGAAAATAAGCACCTGTAAAGTAATCTTGCCTCTTGGCTGTATTTCACATCTTTAGAGTACGCACACTTCTGTGCATATGCCACGACGCATAAAAACTGCAACACTAAGCCAACGGCACCATTATTTGGAGTAGTTTTTATGTTTTTTGATTTGCTTTGAATCAACTATTTCAAGTATTCAACATGTAGACGGTAGATTGTTCCCTCAGTCCCTATAATTAACGAGCAACATCACCAATACCGATTAAGTCTTCCTGTAAAACAACATAGGTTATAATTGTGTGTGAGAGAGAGAGAGATTCCTGTCAAGTTCATGGAGAAAAAAAAAATCTAATAAATGCAAAACATCTTACTATTGTGCATATTTCTATACTATTCTATATTTCAAAATGTGGCTTTTTTTGGCTTTTTGTTTTTGTTCCAAAGATTTGTAGAAAGCACATTTTTTGGAATAAATGTATAAATATATTATCTATGTTAATGTCATAATCTTGGATGATCCCGTTGCTGTCTTTATTTACTTTTGTCTTCTTTTTTATATCCGCAAGTGTTGTTCCTCCTAAAAAGGTGCAAGTTAAATTTCAAGCTTTTATTATTATTAGTTTTTGTTTTTAATTTTTATTTTTGTTTTGGGTTTTTTTGTTTTGTTTTGTTTTTTTTGCGTGAATGTCTTGATAAAATCATACCAAGAGGAGAACTAATGGTATGCATGTAACACTAGCAGACTGTTGTTTTTGTTTATGGGATTATTTAGCGTGCTATTTGAACATGCATCACAATATACCCAATGTTATTTTCCTCATCTCTACATTTTCAGGTGAAAATGAATGAGTTGGTGGAAAGCACTACTTTGGTTCAATTCAATGTCACATTTTGTCACTTCATTTCAATTGTGCAAATCTGCACACATCAGGTAGTTTTAAATTGTGTGAAACCTGGCAGATTTCTCTTTTTTTTTTTTTAATATGCTGCTCATTAAAAAAAAGTAATTTCTTCATTAAATATCTCCATTCAGCTATAGAATGTGCGCTGGACTGTATACACACACACACACACACACACACACGCACACAAAAAAGGACCAGCCAAAGATGCTAACAAGAGTCCACAGCACATTCTAGTTAACCAACTGCAAAATGCTCTCAAATGTGGTTAGTCAAGGCATGGATAAACCAGCATGAGCGATTACTTGTCAAGTCTAACAAAAAAAAAAAAAATTGTAGTTTTGCATGAAACTTGTGTCTTTTGTATTTGACATTTGAGACATTTGCATCTTTCATCATTTAAATTAACACCATGACTGATGACAGCTTGCGGTCAGGACCCTAGTAAATACTAGCACAGGGTGGCAGCCTGGAGATTTATTTAAAAAAAAAAAAAAGTATGGCAGCTTGATTTAGTCATGGTTCTCCTGCCACTCTGTTCTACTGACAATTAGAAATGGATCCTTTTCATCATTGTTGCTTTAGACTTTCAAAACCCCAATCCTCCCTTTGACTCCCATTGTTTTTTTTTTCTTATTGACTGTCTATTTAAAATGTTTTATATAAAATTGTTTTGTTGTGATATGGCTCTTGTCTTTTGTTTTTTTTCTCAGTGGACATCTTATCATGTTACCAGGTTACCGGCTGCATGAAAGTGTTAAGATTAACAATTGTTTTGTTTTAATCTTTTAGTGGTATACTTTTTTCACTTACCCTATGTGATAAGTGTTAAATAGCTACTTTTGTATTTGTTGTTAAAGTTTAGGTTGTACTGTATTATCATTTATGTTTTACTATTATTAATGGGCAGCACGAGATGCACGCCTTCCTGTCGGGAGTATGCATCTCTGGTTATTTTGGCTTCCTCTCACGTTCTCCCCAAAAAACAGGCATGTTACATTTCATGAAGAATCAAATTGTGCGTAGATCTGTGTGTGAGTTCAGTTCAGGGTGCGCCCTAGCTGTCATCCAAAGTAAGATGGGACAGCTCAAGCTCAAGCTACAGGAAATGAATGTATGGCCATTTTAATAGCGGTTCAATTGTTTTCACGTGTGTGTGATTGGTTACGAGTATTAAAAGGTTCCTCACAAACAACCTTTAAAAAGGAGAAAAGTGATGACATGACTGGATCCTAATCCCAGTTGGTGAGCCTGCACGTTTGGTATTTATGGCAACAATGACAATATCGTCCACTAGGGGGAAGCAGACACGACATGATTAAAACACATGGTTCGTGTACAATATGAGACGACCAGTACGTTAATTTGTGTTCAACTTGTACTTTTCTGTGTACTAAAGGTTGATGCTCACCTTTTTATGATATTACTAGTAATGATAAAAGTAGTCGATCTATCCCAATGTTCAAGGTTGTTGGGGTTTTTTTTTTTTGAGTCAATGTACTGAGAAAAGCAGCATCGTTTGTACACTACAGTATAATCTAACAAACGTTTCTGTGTTAGTGTTAAGTAACACTGGATCGATACCTTTAGAAAGATGGATAGAAGACATGACAATAAGCACTTGTTATTTGGGGACATTTATTGACAGTTCTATTCAACTGTAACTCCCATTCCTACAGAAGAGACTGTGTCCATGTTGCCATTCACATAGTTCATAAAAATAAAAATATATTTCTTCCACAAATAGCTGTACAAGAAGAAGGGCGGGGTGCAATGGAGTGGTAAAGGCAGGTAAGGATGGGCAATGGGGGCTGGTAGTGATTAAATAAGTGCAACGTGATACTTCAGTATCCTCAGTTAAAGCTTATTTAAATATGTTTGCATATTTTAACAATTTGGGATCCAGTGGGACACTTGGAAAGTTTCCCAAGGTTCCATGTTGTGCCTAACACAGGAAAGACATCAGGTCGTTTGGGACAAGTGGTGATGAGGAAAGTGGAGAAGAGGTGTGAGGTATAAGAGCGCTGAGAAGAGGACCGCTTCAGGAAGCCTTCTAGACAATTCCGTATTTGGCCAGATCACTGAGCTCCATGTCACCGAAGGCCTCCCAAGGACAAACCACCGTGATGTCTGTGCCCAGACCCTCCATGCCGGGGATGTCGTCTCCGAATCTGCATGGACGCGAAGGGGTCACGTCAAAAGGTATGCACACGCGACATGACACATTTGCTGTGAACTCACTCACCCCTTCTGTCCGGGCTTAGGTGCCTTGCTCTTGAAGGTGCGGGTGGTCCTCTGCTTGAACTTGGGGGGTGCCTTCTTGTCGGCGGGGGTTGCAACTGCTGCGTCTGCCATTGTTAATTTCTGGATGCACAGTTTAAGAGGCGCTAAGTCTTGTTTTGCTTCAATGCTCGTGTCGTCACAAAGTCTTAAATGTGTGTTACCAAACAGCTTCGCCTATTTTTGACTCGGGCGGCTTTCAAGATTACTCCTCAAGTGACTCAACGCCAGATTAGCTAAAATTTAACTCAAGTGAACATACACCCAATGTAATTTGTATGCTGGACAGTTAATTGAAATCGTAATCTGTTTTTCAGATTTTTTATGTGCCATGTTGGAACAAATTGGCTTTAAAAGTGAGTAGATTATATGTTCCCATTATTAACATCCAAAATAGTTATTGGAAATATCACTCTTTTTAAAAAAGAAATTATAATAAAAGGCGCACAAGAAAAGCAAGCCAAGAAAACCAAATCAATTCACAGCTGTTTAACTATAAAATCACAAGTTAAAGAAACATTACAGTAAAACCCCAAAAATACATTTTAAATCGTACCCGACTCAGCAAATATGTTAGCTACTACTGTAACAGTTCCTTTTCAAAGTCCAAATGACACTTCATCAAGTTTGCTGTAGCGTAAAGGTAGAAGGTTGGCTCTTACCAGCTGATGCTGTGTGTCTCACTTCTTCTCTGCTCTTCACTTGGCGATTCAGTGCCGTTTGGTCTCCTGGTGTCTCTTTTATACGCTGACTGCTAATCCCTCTCACACAGGTACACGTCCACCTCTGTGGTCACATGTGGCCGCTAATTGGGCTCAGTGCTATTTTAGTGGCCAGAACAAGCGAGATCATTCAGTGTTGCATAAGGAAGCAGACATGACTCAGGAATGACACTATTGACTAGAAATTTCAGGATATAATTTAACTGAGATAGTGTACACACATCAATTCAAATCTTTAAAAAAAACATGTAGGCCTCCAGATTATAATACAACATGCAGCTTTTAACACCAATCACTTTCGTTAATGTGTTCATTGGGGGAAAAAAATATTTTAAAAAAGGCCCAAAGTAACATGAAAGATGATTTGTCAACAACAAGTCAATAGAAGCTACTTTCACCCGACAGTCATTTTCTGTCCCATTTGTTCTCGTTATGCTGGAGCCAACCCCTGCTGACAGAGCACATACATACCTGTCACTTCCCCTCAAAAAAATATTAATTTGAATAAAAGCTCTAGTGCACCCAACCCAACATTTTTCCTCATTCTACTTAAATTGTAGAGGAAATTCAGGAATAATTTCACGTAAAGAGCAATTTAAAAACTCACTGGAATCAATATCACAGTAGTTCTGAAACAAAAATAATCAATGACTGTTCATGGTGCATCTTATTTTTGTGTTAGTACTTGATATGGGAGTACTGTATATGTGTTGATAAAAGGATATTTGCTCCCCATAGAAACTTACTCGTTTTAATTCACGTGATGTATAAAAGTATGTATCTGCCGTCAGGCTCATTTTACATGCAGTACAAGTTCTGAACCAATATGACCACAGTCCATTCAACAAGATGGATTGCTTGTTTTTAAAATGGGCACACAGTGAAATTATACACTGCGACTACGCTATTACATCATGCTGTTGTGTGTTTACATCCCTCACCCATCCACATGTGTTTCCATGCATGAGCAACAGTCATAAAATCGAGAAGAGGCCATCTAGGACCATCAATTGCTTTGATGCAGATGCTTTCGAATTCATGAGTTATCAATGTTGAATTTTTTTTTGAACCGCCTCATTCGTGAAAAAGAAGAATGGTGTCATACGCATACAGAGATGGCAAACACTATTTGCTTGAAATGTCCACATTAGACGTGTGGTCTTTGATTGTCAACATTGGAGACATATTAAAAGTGACCTATATTTCTTGTAAAGCTCGGTCACAACAACAGCTTGTAAAATTGACCAGAGTCTATGTTTAACACCGGCATGGTTAAGAATAGATCGGGATTGAAAGAATGGCTATTTGCGTCTGTGCTGAGACAGAAGAGATCAGGGCTAAGTGGGCTCACCGCAAGTGAGGGAAGTCAAATCAAAGGACTAAACATACGTTCACTTGCGTATCATTCTAGTTTTGTACATGATTGGGAATATTAAACATTTACTCGAGGGAAGGTCCATTTATGGGCAGACGTTAGAAGGAAGGTCTTTGTTAGCTGGGTATGATGAGTACAAATAGGGAACTCTACATTTTATTTCTCTCTCTCTCTCTCTCTCTCTCCCTCTCTCTCTTTAAATATATATATATATATATATATTTTTTTTTTTTTTATCAAACAAATGATGTAAGGAAGTCACCATTTTTTCATAGCAGGTACAGTATGGCAGCATTCACACCTCTTTTTATAGTATCTTAGCACATCAGGCTGTAATAATTACCTTATTTTTGTGCAACAATATTATGTGACCCCCAAGCCACATACTAATTGGGCAAATATCTATCATGTTGACTTTGTTGTTACCCTGGCAACCTCTGCTGCGCCACACAGTAGAAAAAGGACAGGAAATATAATGCACACACGCACACACACACACACACAAATATACAAATTTGGATTAGGTTTGGAATTTATGCAGATGAGTCAATGCAAAAATAATTTTAGTGTGGACTTTTTGGTCCAAATCCTAATAATGCCACAGCCCATTTCCAGGACTTGGAACCACATTTAAACGTAATTTAGTGGTGAATAATTTTATAAATCAAATAAAAGTACTGTATATTAACCCGGTATCCATTTTAAAATAACGTTTGTCTAAATTAGGCTCGATGTTCTTGTAAACTGTTTTACATCCATACTGCAAGCATTCCAATTTATGCGTCCCTTGAGTCAAGAGGGGCCTTCAGGATTACTGGTACACGGCAGAAGGCGAACTCATGGCGTTATAGGTTGTGTAACGGTTACTTGAAAAATAGCTGCGGCCTAATTGAGAGTAATCCAAAAAGCTGAGCTTTACCTGCATGACATCACGATCTTTTCTCACTCGCTCACTTCTCAGAAGCATCAACTGTGTCAGCCTAATCTGTGCACGTCCCATACAAGTGACGGGTACGGAGATAAAAAAACACATCTGATGATATATGTCCGTTCGGCAAGCCCCTCTCACTGTCTATTTTGAAAATACGTCTTAAAACTCGTTTTTAGTCTTTGACTCTACACGAGACTTGATTTTTAGTTTGATTTAATTTATTGCTGTGTTGTGTGTTGTTGTATGAATTATTTTTGCTATGTGTACAGCACTTTGTAGACAGCGGAGATTGTCTATATATACTGTATAGAGTTGAGTTGAGTCCAGATGGAAGCATCCTGTCCATAGAGACCTTTAACCAATTGCATCAGCATGTGGAGATGCATGATAATGAAAATATGGTAATACGTCCAAATTTGTGATGGGGGAAAAAAAGATTGAAAATATGATAAAATCCTGCTAATTGTCTTAAATTTAAAGACACTTTTGAATGCAGTATTATTTGCCACATAATAATAGTATTAACAGAGTGTTTTTTTTTTTGCTTTACAGCAGAAAGTATTTCATTACCTTTCAATGAAAATAATATACAGTATCCTCGAGTTCTCTTATATATAAAAACGGAAAACAGCATTTTTAAAATGGCTCTTCAGATCAAAAGGGAAAACAATTTGCTGATGAATGTTTTTCATTGGGCGCTTACAATATTTGACCTGTACTGTTCACACAATGCAGTGTTGATGTATATTGGGGTGGCATCATTTTGTTCTAAAATTGTTATTTTTGACATTCTCATATAATGAATGTATTTAACTTTCAATTATGTAAAAAAACATTAAATTCACAATTTATTTAATTTAGAAAACTCTTGTGATAAAGGAATTCAAAAGTAAATCATAAAAAATATAGATATTTATTTTGTGGCGGGGGGGGGTGCCAGTGAAGAGATCAACTTGTTCCCTTCCGTGTCTGCGTCAGTGGACCCGTGATAGGTTGCGTCTATCTTGAAACATTGCTGAGACACGTTGAGCGCCCGTCCCATGACAACCCCCCCCCCACCCCACCTCTGTGACGTGTGTACAGATTACTGCAGCACGAAATAAGTTTCAAAATCCTCTGTCTGAAACCCCTCCCACACCCACACGACCTCCCCGCAACACAAGGATGTGCAAATGGGTTCAATTCCAGAGACGTGCGGTCAGGGCATGCATGGGAGGCTGACCCTCCCATTCACTGCATATGAAGACTTAAAAACAAACAAACAGCAATCTATGCTTCAATTTCTTTCTATTTTAGTTCTCCGTTGCTTTTTATTGGGGTCACTGTGTTTGTCTCCAAAAAATGAATCTTACTCATCAAAGAGTTTGGGGTCTATGTGGGTGGTCTTGGTTTCTTCAGCTTCTGACCGTGTGTTTGTTGGTGAACACATCCATGTTTGCTAGCTGTTAGGAAGCAACAGCAGTCGTGGAGATACTGTTTATGACTACAAACCAAACATGCGAAGGACTTAGCCTTGAAGTGGTTGTTGTTCTTCAGCGCAGCTGTTTTGCTGATCCGTGGTCAGCCGCATTCAGTTTCATTTAAGCACCCCCCCACCCCCCTCACCAGAGTAAATCAAACAAGTTTGTTTTTTGTTTTATTACATGTATCCATGGTTTTCTGAATTCTTACTGTAATTATATGAAACTATCTTTTATTGGTTCTTATGCAACATATTTCAACAGTCAGACAAAAAAAAAATTTATCAGGTGTTGCGGGTCTTGCCCTTCCTCAATTTTTTTGGTTTTTGTTTTGTTTTTAAGGCTTTATTTGGTTGGTCCATGACCCATGTGTGGGGAAGCTTCCTCCATACACCTGAACCAAAAATTAACTTTTAGCAACTTTATCAGTAAATAATATTCCCCCACGCAGTCCAGTTGATTATGTGGCGTGGCACTCAAAATGTGTCAATTAAATGCTCTTCCATTAGATGACAGGAGGTACAACAACTCCGTTTATCCAACTGTTGCCATTCATACAGTACAAGAAGTCATGGCGTCTTGCAAGTATATTAGCTTTGTCACCAGGACCATATTTCAAACTGCGCCATCACATTTGCGAATGCCGATACATTGAGATGATCATCATTATTTAATACTTATTGTGATCGTTTTGTTTGGTGGTGAGCTGTGAGATCTTTCGAATGTAAAATGGGTGCCTTGGCTGGATAAGGGCCGGGGAAATGTTGGCCTAGGCTAAGCTTTTCATACGTCAGAAGAGTAGCATAATTGCGGACACGTTTTTAAACGTTTTTCGAAAGCCAGAAAAAACAAATTGAAGAGACATTTTACCTCATTTCAAATCCCGCGTATTATCATGATCTGGATGACAGTAAATCTACATAGACCTCAAGAAAAAACACGCCATTTTTAGCTAGCTCCTTGGTATTTTCGATTGACGTTGGGACGGTAAGTTAAAAATGACTTTGTCAATGATGCAATTATTCTTACAATATGCAAGACTGATGCCTTATTTCATCGTTAGTGACTCAAACTCCTGTCCTACGATGACACGTAATCCAATGTCCGCGCACCCAAACTTATCAGGAACAGCTGGCTGCTTCCCAAGAAACCTCCTATCAGAAGACACCACCACCACCACTACTAACTGCAGCAGAAGTAGCCACGAGGTAACACTTCAAGTCGAAAGGCTACAAATTTTTGGGAAATCCCAACGGACCTCCAAAAATAAAGTGAAAATGCTGATTGGACTGTTCTTCGTCCTTTTGTCTTCCGTCACTGCTGAAGAGAAAGGTATTTTTTTTTTTTTTAAAACCCAATACTAGATGTGTCTTTAACATGACTTTTTTTTTTTTTACACTGTACAGTAAAATGACTATACGTGTCTTAAGTGGTCATTTTTTTATAAAGTTTCATGTTCACATCTTGTGTGTGTGTGTGTGTGTGTGTGTGTGTGTGTGTGTGTGTGTGTGTGTGTGTGTGTGTGTGTGTGTGTGTGTGTGTGTGTGTGTGTGCGTGTGTGTGTGTGTTCTCAGATGTAACGCTTCCGAGATTGAACGACACAAAAGCCACAGAGGCCTTCATCGACTCTGCCGAAGTGGTGGTGATTGGATTCCTGGAGGTCAGTAAAAATGAGACGAGATTTTAGAATAGCGCGATTTTTATGACTCGTTGTATTACACCATCTTTCATGCCGCAAGCCAGACATAGAAGAGCCAAATTAAGATACGACGAAAACTCCGACACTGAGCCGTTTGTTTGCATGTCTGATGGCAAATATGCTTGAAAGAGGGACGTCGTGGGCCTTGCCAAGTTGCCACTCCTTTGGCGTGGTTGCACTGAGGTCAGAGGTTGACTGGTTGTCTGATACATTGCGCGCCCTCTGGCTGTCCTCTGCATGCGGGGGAACGACGGTCGGCCCCTGCACAGGAAGTCCACATGTGAAGGCTTGTGGGAGAAGCTGTGTTAAGTCTCTGGTAAACAACGGTCATCATGGTTGAAGAGAAAAACAAAACGGTTTGTACCAATGTATGAACTTATTTTTTTATTGGCTTCTCTAGGATTTAAAATGAATTCCCAGAGAGGGTGGAATAGTCCCTCCAAAATAGCTACCTTTTTAATGTCTGTGTTCATTCCCGCATTTTTTCCCCCCCTCTTCACTTTCTTTCTGTTACGACCACGTTCACATTTTCTTTTTGGCTTTGGGGGGGGGGGATTTACAGACTGTGATGGCCTCTGACAGTTTTAGTATGTCCAGAAATTCTCTTGTTGCCCATCCCTTTTTACATTCGGCATGTGATAATGAATGCGAACTCCAGACAGATTAAAAAAAAACAAAAACAAAACAATTGTACACCGACATTTATAAATTTAGCAATAATTTTCAACAACCAATTACAATAAAAAGTAAAGGTTTCTTGATCATATTTTCACTTTCTATTGAATGACTGCGTAGTATGTGCAGTATATGCATCTACCGCCACGTGTACTTTACATATCAGAGCATTTGAAGACTTGACACGCTGTAATTCATGTTGTGCTAAAAAATTGTATCATAATTAAATTTCATTAAATTCATAGAATGTCACCCATCTGTAAAAACAATCTTGCACATCCTAACCCACATTTGTGTATGTGTATGTCTATATACAATATCTATAGTCAAAATGTCTATATTTTGAAATCAATTTTTAGCCATCAGTCAAAATGTCAATTTTTTTTTTTTTTTTTTTTTTAATCGGTGCACATAACACGAAACCGCTTGATCCTTGAATAAGAAATATGAGTACTCGCACACCACGTGTCACTTCCGATGGGAGGTTTTTGCATGAAAATACTGTTTGTCAGTGCAACATTCAGTGAAAAGAGCTTGCCTTACGTTTTTGTTTGTACAATTCACAATTTGAATTGAAAACATTTTTTTTTTTTTTGGACACTGCAGGGAGAAGAGAGTCACGGTTACAAAGAGCTTGTGGCGGCAGCAAAGCGCGTGGATTCAGTCTCTGTGGCTATTTGTGTTTCGAAAGAGGTGTGGGCTGACTATGGCATTAAATCAGACACCATCACTCTTTTCAGAAAGGTACCGTCACGGCCGCACCATTCTCAAGCATTTGTGATGATGATGCTCAAGCATGTGTTACGTCCAGGCCGATAACCACCAAGAGAACCTCGTGATTGCCGAGGCCGAGAAGGTCGAGACTGACGGTCTTGTGAACTTTATCATTGTGAACGAGGTCCGCTACATGACCGAATACAACCAAGTGGTGGGTCCACCTGCACAGTGCAGTGTCTAAGCATGCTTTTCCCTTTCCCTAATGCTGCTTTCTTTCCCCAGACAGCTGTGGGCCTCTTCAACTCGGAGGTGAAGACTCACCTCTTGCTCTTTGCCAACAAAGGGCGCGAAGGATTTCATGAGCTCAAAGAGCAGTTGGCGGCTTTGGCTCCAGAGTTCACTGACAAGGTGAGAATATATTGAATACGGAGAGAGTTTTGTATTTTTGAAGTCATTTTCTTTTCACAAAATGCTGAAGTGGAAATCGTTTTTTTGATCTTAAAACTTGCCATCATAAAATATTTGGATGACTATTAAAGGTCAGGTTCTAAGTAGCACCGAAACATTCATACAAGGGTAAAAAGAAGTAAATTTCAATACTGTGTATTCACAACCTTAACTTAATTGACTTCAGCCATTTTGTACTGAGCAACGGAGACAGAGACGGTCGTACTATTTCCGTATTTTGCAATAAGTTCAATTTCTGATTGTATGATTATCACCAATCAAATAAAAAAATATGATCCGATAGTATACCAATACTATTTATTATTGATTTAATAAGCACTGAAATGGCGGGACTAATATATCAAAATTGTACATATATGTTAGGCTCCAACTCACCCGTGGATAAGATGGGTGATTAAATTCCAAACAATGACTTTCACGGAGTTACACTTTTGTCATTCCACTTTTGCCCAAGAATTTCATGACATGCCCTGAATAAGTCATACTAAAAAAAAACCCAACCAAACTCTCTTGAAGTTCTTGTTCGTGCTCATCAATGGTGCTGAAGACTCCAACTTCCGCTCCTTGCGCTACTTTGGGCTCAAATCTAAGGACCTCCCACGTGTGGGCATCTACGATGGTGACTCCGATATGAAGTGGCTGATGCCCGAGGGCGACATTTCTCCCGAGCGTGTGCGAGACTTTTGCAACTCTTTCTTGCGAGGGGAACTGAAGGTGAGCAGACATTTACAAGTAAGGTCATTTCAGTCCTTTTCAAGTGGACAAAAGTGTTCAACATGCTGATTATAGTGAAAATACGGTAGCCCAATTAGGGGTAGATGCACGTGTACTGCACAAAGTATTTTTTGGACTATAACTCGCTCTAGAGTATAATTCATGCAGTCAAAAACTGCATTATGAAGAAGGGAAAAAATGTCAGTGCTAGACTATAAATCACAATTCTGGGGGAAATCAAAAAACGAGACCGGGTGTTCTCGTTTCCTACTCGTGGGTGCATTTGGAAATCCACTCTGTTTCACTCCAACCATTGAAAACTCAGAACATTGTTCAAATATGCCGTTCGTTTATTCAGAGTAGGGAAGCTGCATGCTAAACTGGCGACGTGTCACCATTTCGTTGTCTGGATTGCTGCTTTTTCCTCTGCTTCCATTTCTTCCTCTCCTTTTGTTTGGTAGTTGGCAAATACTTTTGGTGCATTACCGACACCTTCTTCAGCATGCCATAAAAAATGTGACCATTACCAGTAATGCATGATTACTTCTTCCTCTTCACCATCATTTAAATAGCGTCGTAGGAGCCTAATCATCAGAAATGAGACAAAAGGTAGTTTTTAATTGCAAATCGCAGTAACATTTGGACTTAATTATTGGAAAATAATAATAAAAGAATATGACTAAATTAAATAACGATTCAAATAAAATGTATTACACCTAAAAAAAAAAAAAAATCAAAGTGGACCTCAAGAAAAGAGATCAAATGCAAATATATTGCACTCCATTTAACTCCAAGTTAAATAGAACTGAACTGTACTTGGGCAGTAATTCTTTCGGGTGTCACTACAGGGGCTGGACTTGAACACTTCCCTCTGAATCCACAGTAAGTACCTAAGTTAGGACAATTCCAGCCCTCCAGCTATGTGCAAACAGGTTTTCTGGACGAATGGAGTAAAATTTCCACATACGCACTCCACCGTGTTGCAGAACGCCTAACCAGAAGCGCAGAAGCTGTAATAACTCCAAAGGCCAAGACAACAGGGTCCCACTGTTTTCTTTCATTTTCATATTCACTAAGTTTTACCGGTATTCTTTTTTAACGTATGTCAGAGAATAATTAATGACATGTTTCTGTACTTTACAGGAGGTGAAACAGGCCGGAGCAGAGGCCAAAACAGAGCTCTAATGCTGTTCAAAGATGTGAATGACCCATATTGTTGTAAAGTGAATTCAATAAAAAAAAAAACAACAACAAATGTTCTCATGTTGAGTCTTCGTCTTTGTCGCGGGAACCTTCGCGGCATCCGCAGCTGCACGTCTACTGGTGTGTGTCTTGTTTTGTTTTGTCTGTTTATTTCAGCGTTAGGCTGTCTGCGGCCTGCTTTGCTGACCGCGTGTCGGCGGCCACAAGCTGCAGACAGGCTGGCACGCTTTGTCAGTCTGCCCGCAAATGTCACAGTGGCGACCACAACACAACTGTCCTAGTGAGAGTGACACACAGCAGCGCAGGAAGACACAGGATGCTCCAGACAGTGGTCAAAGGTCATCCTCATGTTACTTTACAATGAAGTGAATGTAAATAAAAACGAAATGCACCATTTGGGCCTGAAAGTATTCTCCAGCCATGCATTTTATATACCTTCATTTACCATTTTATTAGGATACATTTAAGCCACTTCTGAGAGAGAACATGCACTAAAGAGGGCAAAAAATGGTGAGGACGCAGTTAAAAGTTAAATGACCATTATTTTTCTTCTTTCGTTTTTACAGTTTGCACAACTGTCATTTATTGTGCAATAATATAATTGTGACATGTACTTGTTATATATTTTGATGCATTTTTATGCTTTTGGAAACATTTATGTCTGAATTTTGGGGGGCTTGGAACGAATTAGGGCATTTACATGGAAAACATGTCCCTACTTACAAAATTTTCTAGTTAAGAAATGTCTTCCAGAGAACCAATTAATTTCGTAAGTAGAGGTACCACTGTAGTTTATTGAAAAAAAAAAAAAACATCATTCAAGGGTTGAAGAACGAACCCCAGGCCATGCCACGCCTACTGTGTGTTAATCAATTGCTGGTGTCTCCAAAAGGAGACTCCAAAATGGGTCTTTAAATGGGTAGAGATTTGTCTCAAAATAATTTCCATAAATACATCTTCAATTTTGACATGGCAAATATATTTGGGCATCTGAAAAATGCAAAGAAGGAGCAGCATGGCTCAGCTGCAAGACTCGCCATCTCCCAACTTGAAGGCTGTGCGTTTTTGTTCCTCCATACTAAAGTGGCTTTTTTTTTCCAGTCCAAAAATTCTTTGTAAAATTCACTTTGAATTTCTAGGTTAAATAAAAGCCCAACTATTTCTATTTTTTTGTTTTTTTTTTAAATGCATGACTGCAATTTGAACTCTTAAATTTTCTGTGACTTTTTAACCCTTTCAGGGACGGCGGTTACTGCGGTGGACAGCTTATCAAATTATCAGATTACCGGGTGCACAAAAGCGTAATTTTCCCAAAAGTTTTTGTCCTATTTCAAACCGTACATCCTCGAAGTCTTCAGCTTTTGAGGTTCCACACTATTCAGTTGAATGTTCAGTAATTGTGTGAACAACAACAACAACAAAAACACTTCCAAAAAAGAAGAGCACATTGGACACAGACACTGTGAGAAGAAAACATTTGGGATCATCCCAGCAACGTCCACTCGAGCGAGAAGGGAATTTCAAGATCCAGACGGAGATCAACATAGTGTAATTGGCGGTGCCGTCCTGCCAAGCCAAAGCATCCGGCGGAATTGGGAAGCCCTGACACGTGGCATCCAGACAGTCTTGGATTGGGTTGAAGTGACATAACACAAAGGCAAACATAATTGCAGTATTCCACTTTTAAGAACTGAAAAAAAAAAGTCACAAGTGAATCGGAGAAACTGTGCAACTGGGCTCGTCTTCATGCAATACTCGAGAATTGCATCGGATTAGATTTGAATCAAGTTCAAAATTACCATACCCAAATATTTCAACAAATCACTATTACAGTCTAATACTGAGCCTCTTATAACATTTTGATTGTTTATTCCCCCGCCCCCATGTCGCGTTTGCTTTGAAATCGCCCCAGAAAAGAAAAAAAATTTTTTTATTGTAACACACAAATGTCGCTGATATGAATAAATGAAAATGATAAAATGATTCATCGTTTGATTTATTATTTAGGATTAGAGTGTATTTCTTATATGTATTGTTTTATGTTGCCGTATCAATCCAAAAGGGGAATGATCAAGCGAATATTAGTACTGACTAGCAATTGAGTGTATTTAGTCATCATTCTAAAAATTCTAAATAAAAATATAGCGTGTATATTTACAAATCCTCTTCATGGATTTGGTTTACATTCTTTGAGTTGCAACTCAACATTCACGTAATTAAAAAGTACAGTTTCCACTCAAGAGGATGAAATAAATCGCATGAAAAAAGGAAACTATTTGGATTACTTGTTTTCTTTAAACCAGCAAATCATGTGATATGTTTTACAAAGTACAGTATATCCACTCTAATATGTAGATGTAAAAAAAAAAAGTTTAAAATGTGTCATGTGTTTTTTGCATTGATTTGAAAAAGCAAAATTTGAAACTGCATGCAGGTGAGTATGTGCTTTCCATTTTGAAATGAGAAGAGATTTTTGTGGTTGTTGTTTTTAGTTCTTTTAGTGCTGATATAGCTTTCGAGTACTCGGAACAATAATTCTCAAGACTGACACGTTCACTGTTGTGGCTTTTCAGAGAAAAACACTTTCTCCAAGGAACTCATACAGTAATTATGGGGTTGTGCTGTATGTATGTGTGCAAGACTTTCGCAATGCATTTGGTTTTTAGAGTGCCAGTCTTTGGGACGTGCTTCTTGATGGGTCAAACATTTTTTTTTTCCAAACTGTTGGAAAGTGACCATTTTAAAATACCAACACAAAAAAAGCCGCCACTGCATTACGTCACCACATTAAGTACACCTGTCAAATGAGCGCTAATAGAGCTTTTACAAATGCAGTACATAACAACATTTGCAGGATAAACACAAAATATCATGTTATCGACAATGATTTTTGCATGTCGATAAGTTGTAAATTGGTATGTTAACTGTGTTTACATAAATTAATAAGATACCCAATTTGAGTACATATACTACTCTTTCTTTTTTTATTTTATTTTTTTTTACTTGAGAATCTGCCCTGTATTTGAACCCCCATCCAACAAAAACTAATCATAAAAATAATATTAAAATGTATTATTATTATTATCATGTCTTATTGTCTGTCTGGCTTTATCCAGAAAGAAAGAAGCTATCCGTAGACAATTTGATATCCGCCTTTTGAAGAAGGTTGCGGCGATTCTTTTGTGAATGGCATCCACACAACAACAACAACAACAAAAAGACAAATAAATAAATAAAACACCGAGCTAGACGTTGAAATTACACGGCTCTTTGTCCAAGACAAATGCCTGACACCAGGAATAACACGAGGCTATAGGAAACAAGGGCATCAAGGTCAGACTGCATCTTATGGACGGCACTTTTTTTTTTTGGCTGCTGAGTCTCTGAGGCATGAAGTGGGCCCATAAAATGCGCACACACATAACCAACATTTCATTGCTGCTGCAGTAAAGTTTAGATTAGTTATTTTTCTATAAAGTGACCCGCACCCGCATCCACACTAGAACCAGATTTCAACATCTGAAACCGCATGCATATCACCATATAGCAACACATAGGCCTTCCTTATATTTAGCTGCGTGTAAGCGCGAGGCATGTGTCGATCGGGCCACCGCTTACTGTTGCCAGTCGCTGGCCCCTGCCAGATTCTGCCGTCCCTAAATAGCGCTTGCCCGCGGCTGTGGTGGAATGCTGTAGCACTCTAATTAAGTCTGTCACATAATGAGCCTGACCGCTACTCCATGTCACTCGATTAGAAGCTTGCGGTGCACTCCCACTGTAGTTTGGGGTTTGTGGGGTTGGGATCTAGAATGTGGGGTAACGGGAGTGCAGTAAGATGATCGCAATGGCAAACCTCCACTCTGCAGAAGCAGCACTATTAAAATTCAATCACATTCCGTACATATTCTAATTTAAAACTTTCATACAATAGTTTGAATGCTGGCCCAAAAGAGTTGATTGGAACAATTAAAACGCCTTTGAACATGATTTGATGGAGAGGGCGAAAATGAACATATGCAGTAGTGGAATGTTTGTACTTAGTTTTGTACTTGCACAAACTGTTCCGGAACACTGCTTGGCCTCCCATCTGTTCAAATGAAGATCCACAGATAGAAGATGATGCAATTACCCAGAGAAATAAAATGAACATGCTCCGGGGTCAAACTGTCATCATACTCAAGCGTTTCTTTACTGTGTACGCATATTGAAATGCATTCTGAACAGGCATGTGAGCATAGTAGGCCACAGTTAGTATCCATCCATCCGTTTTCCGATCTGCATTATCCTCACAAGGGTCGCGGGGCGTGCTGGAGCCTCTCCTAGCTGTCTTCGGGCGGTAGGTGGGCTCACCCTGAACCGATTGCCAGCCAATTGCAGGGCACACAGAGTCCAACAACCATCCGCGCTCACACTCACAGTTAGGGACAATTTAGAGCATTCAATTAGCCTGCCATGCATGTTTTTGGAATGTGGGAGGAAATCGGAATACCCGGAGAAAACCCACGCGGGCACGGGGAGAACATGCAAACTCCACACAGGAAGGCCGGAGCCGCCACAGTTAATAATTAATCTTAAATTTGATGACAGATGTGTAATTAAGGAGAGGAGTGATTTCAAGTCCAAAAGAAATTAAACACTTCTGAAATTCAATGTGCGGCACGCTGGTTGGCGGGTTAGCACGTCCCCCTCATGGTGCAGAGCTACAGGGTTCGATTCCGCCCCAAGCCTTCTTGTGTGGCGTTTGCATGTTCTCCCCGTGCCTGCATGGGTTTCTCTGGATATCTGGTTTCCTCCCACATTTCAAAAACATACTTGATTGGTTGATTGAACGAACACTCAATAAATTGTCCCTCGGTGTGAGTGTGAACACAAATGGTTGAGTGTGTACTACTGCCCACCGACAGCTGGGAGAGGCTCCAACACACCTGCGACTCTTGTGAGGATAAGCGGATTAAAAATAAATAAATGAATGAATGGATGAAAGTAAATGTTCATGTATGAACTATATGTGCCGTGGAGGTGAGTCTTTTCACAATGCAATGCACTTTGCAGTGACCCCCACATTGCAATTTATTTTTCTATTTGATGAGTATAGTTATTACCAAAAAAACATCTTTTTGCCATTGCTGGTAAATTTCTGTGGTGGCGTCACAAAACACCAAAAAGCCCCCCGGCGCTTTTTTGAAACATTGCCACGACCCACTGGGTCAAAAACTACAGAGTGAAATGCCATAATGGAATGCTTGTATGTGTGGGTACTGGAAATAAATTCAGGAAAAATGTTAACATCTTCATGATGAATGTGTTGACTGTCATTTTGGGACAAGGAACTATTTTTGACCCAAAAAAGGAGAGAGAGAGAGAGAGAGAGAGAGAGATTAATCTTAAATTTGATGACAGATGTGTAATTAAGGAGAGGAGTGATTTCAAGTCCAAAAGAAATTAAACACTTCTGAAATTCAATGTGCGGCACGCTGGTTGGCGGGTTAGCACGTCCCCCTCATGGTGCAGAGCTACAGGGTTCGATTCCGCCCCAAGCCTTCTTGTGTGGCGTTTGCATGTTCTCCCCGTGCCTGCATGGGTTTCTCTGGATATCTGGTTTCCTCCCACATTTCAAAAACATACTTGATTGGTTGATTGAACGAACACTCAATAAATTGTCCCTCGGTGTGAGTGTGAACACAAATGGTTGAGTGTGTACTACTGCCCACCGACAGCTGGGAGAGGCTCCAACACACCTGCGACTCTTGTGAGGATAAGCGGATTAAAAATAAATAAATGAATGAATGGATGAAAGTAAATGTTCATGTATGAACTATATGTGCCGTGGAGGTGAGTCTTTTCACAATGCAATGCACTTTGCAGTGACCCCCACATTGCAATTTATTTTTCTATTTGATGAGTATAGTTATTACCAAAAAAACATCTTTTTGCCATTGCTGGTAAATTTCTGTGGTGGCGTCACAAAACACCAAAAAGCCCCCCCCCCCAAAAAAAAAAAACCTAGGCGCCTTTTTGAAACATGGCCACGACCCACTGGGTCAAAAACGACAGAGTGAAATGCCATAATGGAATGCTTGTATGTGTGGGTACTGGAAATAAATTCAGGAAAAATGTTAACATCTTCATGATGAATGTGTTGACTGTCATTTTGGGACAAGGAAGTATTTTTGACCCAAAAAAGGAGAGAGAGAGAGAGAGAGAGAGAGAGAGAGAGAGAGAGAATATGAAAATAACTTTCTTAACACTGTACATGAAAATCTGATTCAAAAAATGTATCCAATGTTAACAACTCAAAGTGCACAACAATGTAAAATTACTTCAATCTAGTTAATTCAGTCATTGCCAGTGCCTGCGTCTGCTAACTGATATCTTTAAAACAGTTAATGTATGTTATGGCCGAATTGTTCAGTTCTAAAGAATTTAGCCTTATTTGTTGCAACCCTCGCAGTGATTTTTAGCGAGTATGTAAATTGATTATGTAACTTTAAGTGGACACTAGAGGAATTCCAGCCTCAAGCAGGCCAAGAACTTTTTCAGGTTGGATGAGAGCGTGCTTTGGGGGTCACTGAATTCTTGGAGTGGGTCCCGTGCTAGAGTGGGAGTTTTTGTGGCAGCCTCCCTTGACAAGTGCAAAAGGAGATGTTGACGTGATTCGCTAGCCAATCAGAGGGTCTCCTCGCTGTCTGAATCCGGTCGGGGACAAGAGTATAAAATGGAGCTCGCTTCAGGGGGATTGAAGCAGAAGCAAACAAGCTCCTCCGAAAGAACAACCGAAGAACTCCAACTTCAACTTCCAGAGACCATGAAGACTCTGAGCCTCCTCGCCATCTGCGCTCTCCTCTCAGCGTGCTGGGCCACAGGAGGTAAAGGAGTGTTCCTGAACATCAGCTTCCGCGCTCGAAGGAAACTTTGTTCATAACTTTGATTTTATGTCCCTTCAACAGTTGTCGAATATGAGTCTCACGTGGAACACGATGGTGACTCTGACCACTCAGACGCCGGCGACCTCGCTGATGTTGGCGACCGCGCCGATGCCGGAGACAACGGCGATGTTGGAGACAACGCCAACTCCTCAGCCTCCGACTCATCCGATTCGGACTCAGACTCCAACTCTGATTCAGACTCTGACTCCAACTCTGATTCAGACTCAGACTCCAACTCTGATTCAGATTCAGACTCCAACTCTGATTCGGACTCCGACTCTGCCTCAGATTCTTCCTCCTCTTCATCTGAGTCAGCCAGTACTGAAGGTAAGCCATCGAAACAGTAATCTAGCAAAAAAAAAGCAGACTTGCGAGTGTGATTGACACCAAAAACATGCATGATTGCTATACAATTTTAATATTTTAAACTGTAAAAAAACAAAACAACAACAACAACCAAAAAAACGATTATTTGATTTCAACAGAATGCATCCAAAGTATGCAGTAATGCAATGAAGGCTCTCTTGTGTCTTCTTCTGCCTCCAAGGCTAAATTGTCCCCCAACATACAAAGCTTGTCTCTCAGTCAAAATATATACGCCATAGCTTGTAGTGCTAATTTTCTATTAGACAGGATGTTGGCGCCATCTTGTGGCATCTTCAGTCATTTGAGAAAAGGTATGAAAAAAGTGAATTGGTGTTTTTTTTTCAAATAACGGAGTAGCCTACATTGTGAGGATAGCATCGTAAAAATCCCTGACTAATTGACACTCTCCCAATAAAGATTTATAATTGCTTACAAATGTCAGCAGATGGCGACAAAGCATGACAAGAAGATCCGCAACTAACTTCAACATAGTTCCTTGGCACAAAAAGGCCACAAAATGGGGCCAAAGCAATCATTTAATATTAGACACGTCTTTGGCCTGAGTGCAGAAACAAAGCTAAGTGAGTTTTCCAATGAACGATGGAGAATATGTTCCAAATGCAACCTGTGTATAGATGAATCCGGAAGTGGCAAATCGAAAATATGCAGAACACTGTGGTTCTATTATTGGACCTTACTGTATGTCTGCATGCTTTTGCCCTCTTCACAAGCACTTTTTTTTTCCGTTGAAAGGCTCAAAATTCCATCAAGGACCAAATGTCGTGGAAAGTGCGGCCGACTGTTAAAGACAGCAATGCCCCCTCTCGAGAGAGAGCCCTCACATAAATCAATTTTTTATTCATGAATGTGTATTTGACTTTTTCTCCTTAAAGGGACAGAGTCTCCAGACTCTCACGTGGTCATGAAGCGAGACGTGGCTTCCGTCTTGCTGAGGTCGAGACGCCAAGCCCCTCTCTCCTTTTACCAGATGGAGCGGTACGAGTTGTTTTGAAAAATGATTTCACAAAACTTCAATTCAGTTCGTTGCGGAAAACAGTTTCTCAATAATGCAACGTTCTTCGTTCTGGTGCAGCCTGAGAGAGGTGTGTGAGCTGAACACGGGCTGCGACGAGATGGCAGAGACGCAGGGCGTCGTGGCAGCCTACACGGCCTACTATGGACCCCCTCCCTTCTAAGCAGACAAACTCATTGCAGTTTGGAGGTCACAAACTTTTTTTTGCACAGCGATGTCCAAAGAGATGCACATAAAGTATGCAGTAAGCCATATATGTTGAAGGGATTCCTCAGCCCTACTTCGCATAACATAATGAATGGTGCTAAAAGTTTATTTGAGTGATTGTTTTGAATTATTTATGCCATGCTTCAGCAGCGGTTATAGAATTGAGCTCTTAGATGTACAATAGTGTCAGTGGCTGTGTCCAGTGCGTGTGAAATGGACGGGAATTATCTGCTATGGCTGTAACCACACATTGCCTCTGGATTTGAAAGAAATAAATTATTTTATTTGTCCAACAGTGATTTCAAGTGTTTTTCTTTTTCCATAGTAGAAGTCTTTAAAATATGATTTTAATTTCCATCCATCCATCCAATATCCAAGCCACTTATCCTCATGAAGGTTATCGACATGCGGGAGCCTGTCCTGGTCATTGGGCAGTAGGTGGGGTACCCCCTGAACTGGTTCCCAGCCAGTCGCGGGGTACACATAAAAAAAAAACAACCATTCACACTCACGGTCATCCGGCAGAAGTTCTTCTTCCTCGTCTTCCAGTGAGAGGATGAAAAAGAAGAACAGTAGCCATGGCGACAAGCTCATGCCCTCCACAGCAAGGACACACAACGCCAAAAGAGGATGAATCTACCAGGATTCTATCTTTGGCTATAACAATGTGATGCTGTATTCTGGTTCAAGGAAGCCATTTTAAGATAAAAAGAAAAAATACAACATAGGTATTAAGCGGATGTTTCATTGTCTTTATGTGGTGCAGGAGGCAGAAATCGATCCACTCACGTTAATTTTTAAAGGCAGCATATAATCAGCAGCTCATGCTGCAACTGTTTATTTTTCTTGTACTGCCTGACGCAGTGTTTTCGGATACTCCATTTTTGGGGGCAGTCTGAATAATTGAACAGCATTCTGAGTTTCCCAACGATATGAGTGGAGCAGTGCCCTCAGACCATTATTAATATTTTAGTTGTAGTTTCATTGTATATTTAAAAAAAAAAATCACATTTATTAGTAGTAGTCGTCATCAGGTGAGTCGCCCCCACTTTTTCAACACCCACACCCAATAGGGTGTGCAGGCTGTGTCGCAACCTTTTTTTTCCGTATACTGTACAGGATGCTGAAGGAAGTCAGAAAATGCAAGCCAGGCCACAAATGGCTCCCGGGCCGTAATTCCTTTGTTGGGACTTCACTGTTCTTGGTGTTAGCTGGTGGAAATGTATACTGTAACATACTGGTAGCATACAGTTGTCAGTTACAATGTAAAGTTTTGAATCACATGTAGTTGTCCTCCTTATATGCCAAGTTGTCCTGAGAGTTATTACATGGACCTTAAGATGGGTACCTAACATATGGAATGAAAAGGAGACATGGAAGAACAAAAACAAAAAAACTTTGTGTTCCCTCGCAAAACTTTCCATTCCCTCCCAAAACTTTGCATTCCCTCGCAAAGCTCAAGAGTGCTATCTGCTGGCCGTTTAACACACTACAAGAGCACAATTTCCAGCTCATCATTCACGCCTCTTTTATTGTTTTTCATCAATAATCTGATTTGTTTGACTACGTAGAGAACAATTATTCAATGGTATGGCACTGTATTAGTCCAGAATTATCGAGACAATAACCGATAACCTGTTTGTCTGTTTTTCTGCATTTCATTAGTGCCCTTCACACCAACAATTGAAGATCGACCAGATCAGACGTAAGTGACACTTTAAAACAAGTTGAATTATGACAAGAGATAAGATTATACGTTCTTTAAAAGCCCATGCTCATCTGAACAAGGTTAACCTGTGCACACCTGTTACACACTCTGTCACAGTTGCACGTGTTGCTGCTGTCTTATCATCGACTGAAAAGACCACCATGCAAAGTCCAGCGTGCGCGGCCACTCTGGGTGGTTCCCACAGGTGATGTTCAAAACTTGTTTGTGAGTGTGTCCGCATTGACGAAGAGAAGTGAGGATAAGCGGTCCAGAAGATGGATGGATGGATGGATGGAGGATGGATGTCATTGTTTTATTTTATTGTTGTGATTGCATATTGTGACCAGCTAGGTTACATATTTAAATACGGGGACAATACATAAAACAACATTTCTGCAAACTCTTATTTCATCATTGAGAAACGAAGGAAAGAGCATCCACCCATCCATTATCCGAACCACTTATCAGCAAAACGTAATATTATTCAGTTGAATTGCCGACCTTTAATCGGAATTCCTTGCCTTGAAATTGTGGGTTCACCCGACTTTTTTTTTTTTTTTTTTTTTTTAACAACTGACATGAATGACAGCAGCTGCTCGTAAACTATGACTCACAGTCACATCTAACAGCACTATATTGCTCATGCACATTCTTCCATAACATGTGACGGGACAATTATATTTTCTCGTATGTGTGGAAGCCGTAAATTGAAGTTTAAGCAGCTATTGCAGAAACAAAACATATCACCCAAACTTGACACACACAATTCAAGCTGAAAAAGTTTATTTAGATGGACATTCATCTAATTTCAGACAACATATTCTTTGAATATAATCACGTTTTATAATTACATCTTTTCACACCATGAAACGATGTGTGAACAAGGTCGCCGCATTGTTTTTCTCTCTTCACAGTGAAAAACTCTACAAGATACGAATGATGAAGGCTGCTGAAAATATAGAAACACAGTTGGAAATGAAAACAAAGTATGATTTAAAGTTGCACAGCGATATGGTATTTGTACTGTCATTTTTCTACATTACAGTCAGACATTTGCTAGAATCAGCTCACAGTTGCTCCATCGTCGCTCTTACATTACAATAAATAATTTTGGGAGGACATAAATAATAAAGTTAATCTTGTGCAATCAAGTACCTCGTCGGGGGAAACTCAAAGTTTCGTCATTTTCACACTCAACACACTTTCCCTGTCTGCACACATTGCAGGGTTATCATAGGCTTCTCTATGGCCCTTCTCGGTGTCTCGCCCTTTATCCTCATCACCTTTGCAACATTTGCAGCAGCAGCAACATTTGGCGGTGATCACACCCACCACTTTGTCCCAGGGTTCCAGAGAATGCGCCCAAAGAGGGAGGAAGTCCCAAGACCGCAATGCGGCCGGCAGACACTCGGGCTTCCTCTTCTGCAACACGTTGATAACGACGATGATGATCAGAAGGGCTACGAGAGGGCACGCCACGCCCACCAGGACCTGCCATCCAGCCAGCGACAGACTGAAGACGAGGAGCGGCAACAGGAAGAAGCAGAAGATGATGTAGACTGCGGCGAACCAGCGGTAGGAGGCCGTGATGTTCCCCAAGGCTTTGGCCAGTCGGATGGGGAATCGGGTGAATGGAATCGGATACCACAGAATAATGCCAGAGATGTTGAACAGAAAGTGTACGAGGGCAATCTGGAGAAACCATAAATTCACTTCATTAGCATGGAGGTAAAACACCAAATATTGTGTTTGTGCTAACGCGACTGACTGACCTGCAGAGCGTTAGCCAAAGTGTCTCCTGGACTGGCCATGGCTGCCAAGATGGCCGTGGTGGTGGTGCCGATGTTGGAACCGAGAGACAACGGATAGGCTCTCTGTATGCTGATGACGCCAATACCTACAGGTATGTGCGTAAAGAAGGCCCATGAGATATTTCTCTAGTCTAATCAATCACTTCAGATGAATGTGCTCCAACTGTATTTTCGTCTTGATTGTTGGGGGTTTGTTTCAAATTGATAAGACCAATATATTAATACAGAGAATATGTTTTTCAGTGCAAAAGTTAGTCTGCATGGATCAGCAATATACTGTATGCATGGTGGGTAGATGGACGATTAGGCAGTTAGTTGGATCGGTGAAGGGTGAGATGACCAGGTGATTGATGTATGGATGGTATGATTATATTTTGATCATGAGGATGGATGGCTAAGTGGTACGACAACATCAACTGTGCGAAGGTTGAACGGATGCATGGAAGGATGAACCAGTGGACGGAAAGAAGGATAGCGGCTTGTACCGTATTGGCCCGAATATAAGACGGTGTTTTTTGCATTAAAATAAGACTGAAAAAGTGGGGTCGTCTTATATTAGGGGTCTAGACATTATACCCATTCACGACGCTAGATGGCGCCAGATACCATTGAAGCGAATGCTGAACTTGACTGCCCAGGCCAAAGTGAACCTCTGCCACGAAGAATAAAAATAAAAATAGCGGTAGCACGAAGAAGAATTTTTTTTAAAAAACGGTAAGAAAGAAAAGAGAAGAAAATAATAGAAGAGATAACAAAAATGGAGAAACGTAGCAACAATCTGGAGAAAAGTGGGTCGAAGATCGGCCAGGTTAACCGGCAGCTGAAGAGAAGTTATGATGCACTGTAATTTACATTTCAAAAACCAGAAGCCATTCATTTACGAATGTGATTGCACTTTAGTTTACATATTTAAATGTTCAGATAGGCAAAATAACATGCTTTTTCTCTCAAATATATTGTTATAATCATTTGTTTCAGATGTACTGTAATTATTTTCTGTATAAAAATTAATTTGGTGTTCAAAAAGTCTTTTTTCGAACTTGAGTCTTGAAAAAGAGGGTGTCGTCTTATAATCAGGGCCGTCTTATATTTGGGCCAATATGGTATAAATGGATGGGTGACTGAAAACAACTGGTTCAATTGGTGGTTGTTTGAATGGATGAGCTGGCAGATGCAAGATGTCCCGATGGACATTTGGGTGGCTTTGGTTGGACGGATTGCTGAAAACGTGCATGCATCATGGCTTCATCAATCAGAGTTATGTTGGTATTTATTTGCATGACTGGATGGAAAGATGTAGATCCTAAAGATGGATGTGTGGTCAGACAAAAGGGTTGGTAGGATGAATGATGGCTTAGTAGTGCAGTGGGGGTAGAGGGATGGATGGTTGGACAAAAACAATGGTGATGAAGTGGTTTGTTGAACGATGGGGTGGATGGGTGGATGGACGGACAGCTGAGTGACCTCACCAACAAGTGGAGTGATAGCAGAGGTAAAAACAGAGCTGCTCTGCACGATGAACGTCATTCCCGCTCCGACTAAAATGGCAATGTATCCCGTGACCCAACCAAAGGGGAATGGGAAATCTGCACACATGCACGTAATACAGTATTAGCAACGGACACTTTCACCAGTCCCATAAAATGGCTTGCGCTATATAAGCAAACCTTGCGTCTCCACTCACCAGTGTTCAGTATTTTCTTGATGATCATGGCCACTTGACCCTTGAGCATGGAGTTGAGCAACTTGACTATAAGCAACAGGCAGGAGCACAACACCAGCAGAGAGAGAGCCAGAAGGATCAAACCCACAGCCAGGTCGGACAAGTTCACGTCTACAAAAAGGTGATCACCTGACAACACGCATACAGAGAACATGTCAAGGTCAAGTGCATGCAAAGATGAATGACTTTGTGTCACCTCATGCTCACATTTCTTGATGTTGTACGTCTGTGAAATGTTCTTGAGTGTGAAGGTGTAGTTGCCGTCAGTCCAACACATTGACGGAGAGGTGCAGTTCTCTGGACCAGGAACGGTGACATTTACTGTGCTCTGAAAGTCAGTCATAATTTAAAAACTATATACATTTAAACCATATTCAACATATTTAGAGTGGCACAAAAGTCACAATGTATTCCTTTTTTTTTTAGTTCGTTACGGCTATCATTTGGACAGGCGGGAGGCCATTAGCATCTGACAGCTTAGGCTTTGCAGTTTTGAGAAGCAGAAACACCTCGTTCCAGCTGGCAATTTTGCGGCACTGCTTCACTGACATTTTCCAAGCCAGGGGCAAGGTAAGGATATCGAAATGATATCTTCACAAAAACTGCAAAGCCTAATCTGAAGAATGTTGGTGGCCTCACTTCTGATACCTGAACAAAAAAGGAAGAAAGGGAGTGTATAGAGAGACTTTAAGGACACCGTTTCTTGCTGTTGTGCCAGTGATGCTTGATCCTACCGTGTTGGTGTAAGTTTTGCACCATTTCTTGATGAGGCTTTTATTCCGGGCTGCTGGATCTCCGGTGGCTATTTCGCTTAAGACAGACTTGTCCAGCTGTCTCGGAGAGAAACACAACATGCAGAAACGTGCAATCGTAATTCCAATTGACATTTTTTCCATCAACAATGATGAACAGCCACCGTGCCACTATCATAGTGGAGATGTTTCACCTAATCCAGAAATTGGTCAAATATACTCCTTTTTTTGTTTGTTTATGAGAACAGTCTGATGTATCCCACGTATGCTTCACGCCTTTACCTTTATAATGGAATCTGTGAGGACATCAGTAATGACATTCAACAGGTCGGGGGCCTCTCCGCTCTGGATTTGGAACGAGTCGATGATGAGCTTGGTGACCTCGTACAAGTAGCCGGTGGCGACCTCTAGAGGCAGCAGCACCAGAACCGACAGCCAGTTGAAGAAGTCGTGCACGGTTGCCCCCGCAAACGCCCTGACAAGAGTCGTCAAGACAAGTGAAATTTATGCCACGCCGAATGAACTTCGCTCACTTCTATCGGTAGCAGCATATATGTTGTGTTATTATCGTATCGTTCGAGATTATGACTACCGTGTCTGTTTTATAACACACCAGATGATTTATTGAACTCCTACAGTAAAAAGCGAGACATTATCACGAGCCTTCAGCTGATACTATTTATTTTTAACCCAACCCAATAGTCATTGGAATCTTTGGCGAAAGGAAGGGAAATGACGCTACGCATAAATTCAGAGGTAAATGGCCAATGAATGGACTTTGATTTTTAAAAAAAATATATTTTTAAAAATTAAGTTATTATTAGGCAAAGGCTAAGATTAATTTATTGGGGGTCATCAATGTTCTCTGCCCTTGCGTTTCAAAAATGCAATCGAGTTTGTACAGCTGCGTAAGATTACGTCTTCGTGTGGCACAAGAAGCCATGCTCAGCTCCTGTCGTCGTACACTTGCTGTTTTTTATTAATTTGTTTTAGATGTATTCCGTATCGTGTTTTACATAAATATTTACAGCAAGCTCCTGCTTATTGACAGTTCACTTTTCAAGCTACAAAGTCACGTCATCTCTAAGACATTTATTATCAAGGGTAATGTTGTAAGGTCAACTGTTTGGGGATTGTAGTATTTGGTATATTTACCCTTGAAACTATTAATATTGGCAATTATAAAACATTGGGGGTGTTGGGCTTGGTCCTAATAAATGTACTGTAATTACAGTATAACTTCATTACTAAGTTAGTGTACGTCACGCTCAAATTTGGGATATGTTGCCGCCATAGGAAGGGAACTCTTTTGTAAACCACGGCCTATCTGTAAAGTTGTATCAAAAAAATTAACAAATTGATTTTAGACTTTTATAATAGTTCCTGTAAGGGTTTATTTGTTTTTAGAATTGCTCATGAACTGAATCAGATATTCTGACCGGCGGCATATTCCCCACTCCTGCATAAGACGTTACCTGCGAAAGACACTGCGGTCCCCAGCCTGCGTCATGGCAACCAATGTGTTGGTGACCGAGGTGCCGATGTTGGTGCCCATGATGATCGGAACAGCTAGCTGGACTGTTAGCACTGCCCAAAAAAAAAAAACACCCACGTCTTTACTATCACCGCATCATACCTGGAGGTGTCACATCGCATGTATGTTGGTGCTCACATCCAGAGGAGACCATGCTGACAACAATGGAGGATGAAGTGGATGAGCTCTGAACCAGCAAAGTAACCAGGACGCCAATGACCAGACCAGCCAGAGGGTTGGACAAGACAACATTGTCCTGGAAAATGTCGCCTGCTGCTTTTCCTGTGTGGATGAAGTGGATGACATTCATTTTTTTTTTTTTTAATCTTGTCCAATTGCCCCAATAGAGACATGTCGGACCTTTATACGCATACCTCCTACAAGCTGGAAGGCTGAGCTAAGGATGTCTAGGGAGCAGATGAACATGTAGAGGAGACCGAGCAGCACAGCCAGTTTCACCACTGACACCAACACCCGCAGCACCTTCCCTTTTGTGTCCAAAGCTGATATAAAACAGAAAACAAAATATCTAACTGTAATTTCAATCAAGATTAACATCAATGCATAGCTGCAATATGAAATAAAATAACATGCTTATCCTCAACAGGGTCACCTCGTGAGCTGGAGCCTATTCCATCTGAACTCAACTCAGACTGGTCACCAGTTCATGGAGTTGTCCAATAACCAACCAAGCATGTTTGGACAGTCTAACATGCATATTTTTGGAATGTGCCAGAATGCCACAGTACCCAGAGAAAACTGGGGAGAATGGATGAACTCCACAAAGCCAAAGGCCAGATTCAAACCCCCTAACCTCTCAACTCTGAGTCATACCTGCTAATCTGCTCTTGCTATAGTACTACTTAAATTATTTTATTTTAAAATGGTGTCGAACGATGGGGCTGGTAAAGAAGCCCTCAAAGAAACCCTTAAATTTGATTTGTGTCTATATCGGATTGATTGTCACTTCAAATGTTGTTTTCAAACATTCCACCCAAATACTAAAGATTAAGTTGCTACAACAATGACACTTTTTTAACGTTTACAAATAATTGTGCGTATCCGGTTGACACCGGTTTAAAGTCTTTTTTTTAATGTTGGTATCTATGTTGAAGATGCTGATCCCAACCTTGCACTCAGTCGTTAATGATAACCTTCAGTTTATCTCATTAATGGTAACCATTTATCAACGTATTTATGTTGTACTTATCATCATTTCATCATTATATGACACAGAGTCTGTCCAAGGAACACACCCAATGTATTCCAACGTACAATGCAGTTGTATTTATGACATAATGACAAACTTGATAGTGGCATTCGTATAATATCGTTGGACTCACTCAGCAGTGGCTGATGCTTCACTATTGGCATCGTGCCGTTCAATATCACAGATGTAAGATGCACATTCAAATTCCTCCTCACCTGACCATGGCACCCCCGTGTCTTTCAGCTCAGGCAGATCCCAAGGGTCTTCCTCCTCTGGCCGGGCATCGTCTACCAGCGCCAGGGTAGAGTCTGCAGGAGTTTCTTTTTGCACTATTTGCACATTTACAGAATAAGTCTTTCTGTGATGTCATAGTTTCCGTGCACAACAAGTCTTGCGTTCAAAAACTTACTTTTGCAGTCATTTCCTTCATTATGTTCCTTTGCAAGCTGAAATTAGTCAAAACGAACTTTAATACATAGAGTAGCCTATTTGTCAAGTGCAAGATTGGAAAAAAAAAGGTCACAAAGTTTTGTGTAGTAAAGTAAGGTAAACTACAATCCTCACATGACTGTTTGATTTTCCACAACATCAAAATAAATGTATTCAAAATGAACTCCAAAAGCTCATGATCTTAATTGATGGAGACAAAAACAAAGGACATTTTCACAGTAATTTTAGTTTTAGTAAACATAAAACACATAAAATGTAGGTCTTTTTTTTTTTGTTTTTTACCATTTTCATTTTTATTTTATTTCCTTAAGATTTTTCTTTTTTCAATTTTAGTTTTGCTTACTTTGTAATTCTTAATTAACTAACAGCCAATATTTTACTTTTGAACAGTTCCAAAGACCCACATCAATTGGATGACTATCACACACATTAACCCACACACATGCCACAAGGTATTGATCACACAGTCACATGGTGTCATCCTGGACACAGTAAAATTCCATTAGTAGAAAACTATGACACGGAAATGAAGCCAAATTGATTTTCTCTCTTTTTTTTTTAAATGTTACATATAAACACACACATGCATTCACACACAGAGTCATCTTTATTTATTTTTGCATTTAAAAGGTTGCTATCATTGTAAAAACTAAAAAGGTCACAGGATACAGCATTCTCTCAGTAGTTTGCTCTTGAAATATTTGCTGTTATTCAGTGTTATTCATTAACTACCTAATGGAATAATCTAATGCATTAAAAGAAACATTTGAATGTCGTACAGATGTGTTGATTCTTGCTCTTTAGGCTTAATTATGTATCTAGGTAGGTCATATTTATTTTAGATATTCATTATTAGTTTCAGGAAGAAAAATGTTTTCTAGGAAGGGGTTTGTTTCCACAGCCCCCCCACCCCTTACCAAAAAGTTTTTATCTCGATTTAATTGTGTCAATTTTGAAATAGTTAAAAAAAAAAAAAATTAAAAAGTGTAAATATAAGTATAGGAATTCCTCACCCCAGGTGGCTTGAGTGCATCCATGCTGCCGCTCTGTTGCCCTGAGATTGTCAAATGTTGCGCCCACGCAGGTGGAGTGTGAAGGTGAAGCAGAAGTTGGCAGATGTTCTCACATCGCTGAGAGCTCCCACAGATAAGATGAACACACCTTGCTTGGTCACTCACAATTTCTTGTAATCGCTGATGTGATGTGTGTTGCAATCCAACTCACATTGTTCTACTGCCTGACTATTCTCTTGTGTGTGACTGACATAGAGTGTGTGTGTGTGTGTGTGTGTGTGTGTGTGTGTGTGTGTGTGTGTGCGTGTGCGTGTGCGTGCATGCACGCGCACGTGACTGTGGATCATTGTAGCACACTATTGATCTTCTTCATAGAGCTACCCATTGGTCAACGTCACGGTGTGCCAAATGTAAACTTTAAATGGAAAAAAAAAACATGTTGCACTTCATGATTTCAATTTAGATTAGAACAATAAAATTATTACTGTCATTCAGGTGCTGCAGTATCTGGATATCTTTTACTCCCTGAGGATTGTAGCTACACACATAGTTTGCAGAAGTATTGTTGAAGATATTAACTTATTTCATCGATCCATCCATTTTCCGATCTGCTTTATCCTCACAGGGGTCGCGGGGGGTCCTGGAGCCTATCCCATCCGTCTTCGGGCAGTAGGCGGGGGACATCCTGAACCGGTTGCCATCATGAAATGCTTGAAAAGGAGCAGATTATTTTGTTGAAATCTGTGCTTTATTTTTATTCTGTAACTTTGCATTGTTTTATATTTAATGAAATATACAGCATTTTGGCTAACCCTGTTGTTTTTAATTGTACTTAAAGATTGGACTGGATGCTTGGGCCTCTGGGTTACATTTGTACACAGTTCTGTGAATAACACAGTGCAACAGCAGCATCTAGAGGGCGTATGTTACTGCAAAATGTTCTCATTTCAAATTAGCTCTCAAAATCGAAATACAGTATACTACAATAATAGTCTATTTCAATTTTCCACATTACTGTAATTGGTATTGTGGAGATGCAATGAGGGTTCCATCGATCAATTTTCTGTACCACGTGTCCTTCACTGTGGTCACTGCTAAACTGGAGCCCATCCCAGTTAATTTAAAGCGTGAGACGCATACGCCCTGGACCAGAAGCCAGTCAATCCCAGGGCACACAGTGACAAACACCCGTTAACATCACATTTACGTAACCCTATGGCTAATTTGAGATCTTCAATGAAGCTGTGCATGTTTTTGAATGTGGTCAAAAATTGGGCTTGGCTGAAGGAATCATACAAACACCGAATGAACATGCAAACTCCACACAGGAAGTGCCACATCTGAGATTCTAACAAAGAACTACTCGGCTGTGAAGCTGACGTGCTAACTAAGGATAGGTCAGAATGAAAATTATTCCATGCATCCATTTTATGTTTGTTCATGTTCTGAGAAATCCTAAATCTAAAATTGTCCTTGAACCTAAAAATGTTTGCTATTCTTAATGACTCACGCTTAAATAACGGTTAAACAGTGACAATATTCATCAGAAACTTAATTATTTTGGAACAATCTTCAATGCTAAATTAAAGTTATGACCAGTTATGAATGAATCAATGGGCTACAGTGACCAATTTAGTCGCTGGGGGGCAGTCGGCAACAATTTCCGAGACATGAATTGCCAAACAATATATCGAATTATTACATTGTATGTTGCCCAATTAAATATACACAAGTAACATTATGAAATTTATACGTTTAGATATTTGAATTTGATTTGTGTTGGTGATTCAGAGTCAGGCAAACCTCGAAATGTCACATTTTCATTTCCGGGTTACGTCACAGTTGGCAATGACATTGTATCGAGCACTACATACACCAGTGTTCTGGAAGCGACCTATTTTTTTTCTATTTCACATGCATTGAAGGCTACCAAATGTGCCTTTGTTAAATTGTCATCATGTCATCCACTACTGCGGGTTTTCACGAGGAGCGGCAGCGCCAGAGAGCACAGGTTAGCAGCACGCCGATTAGCATTATCTGACCCTCGCTTGTGCTAACGCGTTAGCCTGGTGGCTTCGCGTAAAAACTAGCGGCCCAACCAACTGGGTTTAAATACTGTCTTGAGTTTGGTATAACGATATTGAAGTGTCTGGTTGCTACCCCAACAGGCGCCGGTGGGCACAGACTACATCCCCACCGAGGAGGAGAAAAGAGTGTTTCGGGAGTGCAACAAGGAAAGCTTTTGGTACAGGTGTAAGTTACCGTGCCTTAACAATGACTATCAAAACTCTAAATGTGTATTTTCCACAAGTCATGAAAGTAGTCGAACTCTTTCCTAATAGTTGTGAAAAGACGATTCTGGTCACTCTTGGTGCATGAAGATAAGTACTAATACTTAAAACTGATTAAAAAAAAATAAAACTTTTTTTTTTTTAATGGTATCAGTAAAAGTTAACTCCTATACTTATGTAAATTAGTACATACTCTAAAATGTGCTTCAGTATGGCACAAAATATTACTGGCAATTTTCCACAATACCGGTTTAAGAAAAGAAAGTAATCTGCACCCAAAATATTTTCCCACATATATATATATATATATATATATATATAGCTAGCTTTTGCTTAAAACCTGAAATCTGGCAAAAGGTCCAAAAGGTCAAAGGTGCTAAGACTTGTCAGTGGCACTTTACATCCCACTGACTGTACATCCCACTGACTGGTACACACAGGAGTCACCCATTAGGTACACTTACACTATGACATCAACTACAACCTTTTGAGATTCCAAGAGGGCCTCCTACCAGCTGCTACCCTGCCTCAAATGTTGTGGAATGAATATCCCCCTGACCATATCAATCACTTTAGCGGTATAATGTTATGTGTGGCCTTCAACTGAATCTGCACCCAAAATATTTTCCCACATATATATATATATATATATATATATAGCTAGCTTTTGCTTAAAACCTGAAATCTGGCAAAAGGTCCAAAAGGTCAAAGGTGCTAAGACTTGTCAGTGGCACTTTACATCCCACTGACTGTACATCCCACTGACTGGTACACACAGGAGTCACCCATTAGGTACACTTACACTATGACATCAACTACAACCTTTTGAGATTCCAAGAGGGCCTCCTACCAGCTGCTACCCTGCCTCAAATGTTGTGGAATGAATATCCCCCTGACCATATCAATCACTTTAGCGGTATAATGTTATGTGTGGCCTTCAACTGTCCATTTCCTTGATTAATTAAAAAATATATATATTTACCTTGCAGCTGTGCCTTTCTCTGTGGTGAGCATGGCCATCACTCAAGCCCTGGTTGCCAGAGGTCAGACCACATACAAAACGTGCTATCTTATGGAGTATAAATGGATAGCAATTTTAATAAACTGTCGCTTTTTTCCTCTCTGTTTCCATTTAGGGTCTCTCTCTGCATCTCCACGGTTTGGATCGCTTCCCAAAGTGGCCTGTAAGTTTGAAGACAGTTGGTGTCAAAATGTTGTAGTTAATGCAACCTGTTTCTTAAGAGGACTCTCACAATCAAAAGTTGTAAGTCAAATCAAAAACATGAAGCCAGATCCCAGAAGAAAATCAAATCACCCAAAATGTTCGTATCTTCTAAGCTTGAATCTAGAAGACCTGAATGATAATGGCTTGAAACGGTTAATGAAAATGACCAGTAAAAAGTTACTGGTTACTGATGGCCATTTAAACATTTGTACATATGTGCAATGTCGTTACTTTCCTAAAACAATGGTCTACATCATGTTTTCATTTATTTTTTTTAACTTGGAAAACTTAACCAAATATATTTCTTAATTTCGTTCACTCGATGATCTGTTGATGATTTAGGGTAAAAAAAACAACTTTATTTTAGAAACCTAAAGCTATTTTGCTGTAATCTGACATCACACAACAATGATGGTTCCCTCAAATACTTTAATTTTATCTGTGATATTGGCTACGCTTCTGAATGGAAATTGGTGTGCGGATTTATTGCGTGTGGTTTTTTTTTTTATGTTCATTGCGGCCAGATTCATTAGATTTCAGAAGGCTATTTCTTCATTTCTAGCACTCTAGAACGCAGCATTTGTCCTTTTTTTCTTCCTCCCAGTTGCTGGCTTCTGTGGCTACATGGCAGGCAAGATGTCTTACATGAAGACCTGTCAGGAAAAATTCAAGCGGCTGGACAACTCTCCTCTCGGAGAGGCCCTGAGACAGAGGGCAGGACTGTTCCCACAGCTGTGTGTACTAGTGCCAAGCCCACACGTAAAAGGAAAAAAAAACAAGCAAACTCCAAAGCAGGCCTGTAACAGCATTGTGTGATTCTCCTATCTAGTCCAAAAGGCGCCCCGTCAGAGCTGAGTGATCTTGACAGTCAGAGCTTTGGCACCATGTTCCAGCCAGGAGAGACGCCATCTTCCACCACAGAACTTGGATATGGATTTAATCCAGAAGCACCCGCTGCCTCGCGACGATCAGATGACTTTAATGTACCAGGTAACACTGATGAATGCTTGCCAAGCAATAATCACGTTTGCCCCATATTATTGTTTTGAATAATAATGGAGAGACGGGTTAGGTGTTATTCATGACCTTTTAGACTATTCATTTATCTTATTTCCCTCACGGGATGAATAAAGTACGCACTTTGTTGGTCCTTAACAATGGTCACTGAAATAACTTGAAACTGACAAAATGCAAATTTACTGAAACGTAACCGGTGAAAATCAGACATTGCTTTTGAATTCATTTAAAAAAACAAACTAATGAAACAGGCCTGGACAAAACTGATGGTCAAAGGTTGTGCAGCAAAATGAAGTTTAAAAAGTACAATTAGTCAATCATTCTGTTGGACCATGAATTTAAAGCAATGTCTTTTCACTGGTTAATTTTCAATTTAGTTACATTTCTTACTACTTTGAGGACTTTCAAAGTTATTTCAGTGACCATTGTTGGTGTCCTGTTCCTTAAAAGAGTGCTCAAAAATGTAATTGTGAAACAATCCATTCAATTAAGTAAACAAGCTTATGATGGTAAGGTTCATGCATAAACAGTGTTGTCATGCCATTGCAATTTACTGCATGACGGTCAGTTGTTTTAATAAGTTCCATTTATTTCCCTGCCAAATTAGCCTATAGTACTACTAAAACTCTTCCCACAAAAAATGCCTTCCGCAATATTGCATACATGGCAATTTTCCGCGGATCCGCGGCAATCCGCCGTTTTATTTCTTAAATTGATCATTTTTGTGAATCGTCTAAATCCGTTGAGAAAATTTTAAGGGCGGTCAGGTACCTTATCGTCGAGTTTTCACGAGCTCTCCCGAACAGTCTCTCCGTTTTCCGTTTGTAAACAGCCCTGCGATTGGACGTGTATGAAAGCTTCAACTAATCAGATCACTGAAGGCATTATTTGTTGCGGAAGTCCTAGCTCGATTATAAACGGCCCAGCGATTGGTTAACTACAAGCGATTGGACCAATCAAATTGCATGTAACGTATTGTTTTACCTGATTCATGGCGGCCTGTTCGTCTCGCAAATTCATTGTTCTGGGATCGTTTTGAGCGTAATTATGAAATTTTTGACGAAAGATCAGGAGTCTTTAATCCTAGAAATTGACTCAAATGTCAAGAATAAATTCCGATTGGACTGGCTTGACAGAAAAGTCACTGTAAAGGTTAAAATTGGTTTAAGTTCGACGAAGTTACAGAAGCTCTTGGACAATTTTTGAAGAAACCAGACGTAGCAGGCAAAGCTTATTGTGTGTATTGTAGTGACTTAATTAACTATGGCTCCCGTGGATGCGTGGCACTGACAGATCATGCAACAAAAGTGAAAAAACATGCCGACAAAATCGCCATTCGACGGAGCAATTATTCTTTGGGATCGGCATTTTTCAAACAAACTTCGTCAGCGGATACAACTAAAGACGTTACGCGCTGGGGTACTTTGGCTGAACCAAGCAACGAAATCTGCTCCACTGACGCCCCTCCTGTGCCGTCATTAAGCAGCCCGACATTCTTTCACTTTCTGTCGCTCACGTGCGGTTTGGAGTTAAAAGCTTCCATTCATGAGCGCAAAGAAGCCAAAAAGCAGGATGCCCCCACCCTTTTGGTGCGCCGACCTGGTATCCACCTCGGTGTTTCACTTTTTGCCCAAAGATCAAAAATGAAAGAGGAACGTACGGTGCTTTCCAGGATTAATAATTACTCCCACTGATGTTCCGTTTCTGAAATGATATGTCCGCTATAAGGTTGCTATGAAAGATCTCCAAAGTTGTGTTTGCGAACGTGGTTACAGTTTTTTCGCAACTACATTGTGTAGGGAGTTGGGAATGTGTTTACTTTTTTAGTTTTGATTTTGAGCAGCAAATTTGGAGTTACATATTGGTGCTCACCAGGAATGCATAGGCAAAATTGCACAAATTTTCACTTGAAAGAATAGTGGCGATCTTGGGATTTTTTTCTGTTCAATTTTCAAACTGTGTAAATTTAATACACTTCATCTTCAGCATGTTTCGTGCCACTTTTGTAAGTAACCACGCCCCGTCCAGGTCACGCCCCCGTCCAGGCCACGCCCCTTTCGCTTTTTTCATCACTCGCCATTGCCATGTATGATATTGGTGTGTGCTTGATTTTGTCAATTAAGTGTAAGATGATGCTGTTGAGGCCGCTAAATCCATTGCTGGGACTACAACTTCCTCTTGGAAAAGATGACTTGTAATTGGGGAAAACATGCTGTAGTAATTTTTTTTTAGCATTGATTGCTGGTGTGTAAAACTGTCATCTCCAGCTCAGTCTTACGAGGAGGAGAACGAGCCCAAGAGGAAGTCCATCCTCTATGAGGACCTGCGTCTGAAAAACCGAGAGAACTACGAGGTCACACTCACCCAGAAGGCGGAGTCACTGCTCAAAACTTCCCCTGAAAAGGAGCCAGAAAGACCAACAAAAAGCGGTACAAAAAAAATAAAATCAATAAGTCCTGTTTTTTACGAAAAAGACAGTTGACTCATTAATTTCTCTTCATGTTTCAGCGAAGAAGAATATCTATGGAGACACTTGGGAAGAATGAGGTTTTTATTTTCTTTTTTTGTAAAAATGTAGTTCACTGATCTTGTGACACCAGGTGAGGTCTTTGCTAGTCAATTAAACCAAAGCGCTTGAAGTGTTCTGTCTTGATCAATGATTTAAACTTTCTCATTCAAAAGCTAAATGTCACACGTACAAATATACTTTTGAATATTACACATGCCGATATACTTTCTCCAACATAGCATCATTGATGTATTTGAGGGTTTATAAGATTTTGACATTAGTAGAATCGGTAATTCCAAATTTGCAAAAGATGCATCATTGTTGAAACCGCAGGGTGTTAAACCTGGAAGGGAAAAGCTGAATGCATTTTTGCACTGACGGTTCTTTCATTAAAAAAAAAAAAATATATATATATATATA